CCCCCCCCTGGCTACGGGCCTGGGGGGGGGGGGTCCAAAAATCGTTCACTAGGACAGACCCTATTTCGTCATTGTGCATGTATCTTTAAAGGATTTTGTACCTTAGATAGTTATTGTGTTTGTTTCAGACCTCGACATGGAAGTTTACATCAAATGTAATGGCTGATCATCGAATTGGACCAATTCACTGATAACAACCAAATTATTTCAACATGTACAGAGTATTCGCAGGACTTCACAGGGCGGCAATAGGTATATTATCGAGTTTGCTTATAGACCTTCTGGTCTATATAGAGTGGATTGTCCCATTTTCAACAATACCCTTTATCTTCTCAATTATGTGTAAGTATTTTCGCTCTGGCAATTTTCAAATTGTTACGTGAGCAAATATGCTCAAGTAATTTTAAAGGAAAACCACAGTCGAACTTGAGAAAAATCAGTTGAAATAAAAGATTACAAGGACACCATTGGATACAAGGAATCGGACAGACTGGTTTTAAAACGGTCTCATCAAAATTTGTCTTAAGCTCGTTAACTTTTATATTCTGAAGTGTTCTTTTTTGTATCGAAACTGTTTTTACTAGGGGGGGGGGATTTATATATATCTAGGAAAATCTAATTTATTTAATCATTATCAGGTGGTATCCGAGGTTCATTGCGGGAAGAAAATCAAGGAATCCCAAGAACAAGATTCCTTAACGTTCTTCAGAATGGGACAGGTAAAGATAATCAAGATTTATTCTTACTCCAGAGCGGGGAACTTTTGAATGGTGGATATCGGGATTAATGCTTGATCGACTCGTTTTCTTAATCTAAAGATTAAATAATGCTTGTTCTCCGCTACACATTTATCTGCAGATTAAATAACCGTTCGGGATTAAGGATATCCCATTCTAAACTTTTCAGCTCAGGAGTGTGTAGAAGAATTGATATAACGAGGAAGGAGCTGAAGATGTCAGCAATAAAGCATAAAGAAACGAACGATAATCTATCAATTAATCAGGAGCTCAAAAAATCCATTTCACCCTCTTTAAAAAATACTCGAAACTTCATTGTTGGACAATAACAATCCCCCCNCCCTCCTTGGTTCGCCTTTTAAACTTTGATTTAATTTAAATACAAATCGTAAGACCTCACTTCATTATTGATTAATTATATTCACTTCAATTTTGGTGTGTGGGTGTAGGACGTCCCTAAAACAATGATTTGATTTGAAGTATGTAAAACTTTAATTGAGTGTTTTTGATTACTAGGATTTAGTTCCTTGTCTTGTGGATGCTCGGTAGAGCCTGTATCCGGTAAACCTTCTCTAATATGCTTACCGGGGCCTAGTAGGCGTTCCCTACCTGCCACACCCCACCTTGCAAACTCACCACTGGTTCTATATTCGTCGAAACTAAAAGGTTAGTAAGGCTAGGTTAAAAAGTATTCAACAGAAGAAAGACCTCGCCTAGATAATATAATATCAAAAATATAAAAAGGGGTATGCTTTATAAAAGTTTACCCTCCCCCCTCCCTTTAATTTCTCATTCCCATATTTTAAGTACGATTATGTTAAGTTTTTGGTCGCCGAAATTAATATAAAAATTTTAGGTGAAAATCGAAAATTTATTAAGTGGCGAAAAAATAGCTTGCCTATTATGTCCAAATTTTTTTACAAAGAGACATTCCCAAAATGTTCTAGTCCCAAGCTTAGCTTTTCGTGACTTATCTCATCTGCAAAAAAATAAAAAAGTTTAAATTTAAGAAACCATTGTTTTTTTCAGTAGGGGTAGGGCTGATGGGTGGGATAGTCTGGGGCCAGGATCATCCTCAGCAATTTTGAAGATAATATTAAATTTGAGATGATGACAAAAAATATAGCGGATTTTATTGTTTTAATTGTTTTATTTTATATAGAAGATGGTTATGAGTGTACCGGTGGCAGGAACCTGTCTGAAGGTGACGGTAAAGCGGGCTTTAGTATAGATGATTGGTACCATTATACCGCTGCTCTTGTACTTACATATAACATCATTCATATACAACAGGTACTAAAACAACAAATTTACTCTTAACATAAAGAAACTCCTGTATTTGACATCACTATAAGATTTCATTTCCAAGGCTGTATATTTTCCTTAAAAAATAATTCCCTTAGAAAAACAATTTTTCTCCAGAAGTCTTATTTTTTTCTCGCTGAATTAGGGAAACTAAGCAACTTTTTGGGTAAACAATTATTAACGATACAATCACACACACACCCCTGGGAGGGGAGGTAATTATGAAAAATATACATCCCTGTTTATTTGTCGTATAATTATATTTGTTAGGATTTCAAAGTTCCGCCTGAATGTTGTCCAGTGCTTGCAATCAAAAATACAAGATCTGCGTCTGCACAGCCAATATCCACCACATACCACACACAATCAGAACCTTTCAAAAGAATAGTCAAGTTTGATGAAGACCTTGCAGCTATTGAAAATAAATATAGCTCCGAACCTATCAGACAAAAAACTGAAACTACATCTGAAGACGAGCTTGCAGGAAAGCAATCTGCATCGAACGAATCTCTGTCCATAGATGAAGAGACAGATCACAAATCTAAGCCTAATCTGAAAGAATCTCTGTCCAGAAAGGAAGAGACAGATCACAAATTTAAACCTGATCTGAAAGAATCTCTGTCCAGAAACAACGAGACAGACCACAAATCTAAACCTCGTCTTAGTCCTGTTCAAGCTTTCCAGTCTGACTTAGATGCACTAGATGCAGTTCATCTTCTACAGGAGGGAAACCCACGAGGTAATATAACTTAAGATATTTCTTTAACTACATACAATATACATACATAGTCTCATATTTGGTGTGGGTTTATAGACATTTTAATAATGGGTCTTGTACAACTTATACATCAACTGAAATCATTGTATTTAAGGTTAACAAGAACTGTGTGTTTAAAATGTGAAAATAAGGATAAAGGAGAAAGCTTCTTCTTTATCCTTTCAATTAATATAAACCACATGGAATTATTATTTTTGTATTCAGGTATTTATGCTCTGAAAGTCGAATCTCAGAAAGGGAGCTCTGTGGCGAGTTTCTTTCTAGGGATGGCATTTGAGCAGGGATACCTTGTCAACAAAAACTTGAACACCGCCCGAATATATTATCAGAGAGCGGCGGATGCCGGGAATCCTGAGGCGGAGTTCAATCTGGCCGTGTTCTACAGCAAGGGTTGGGGTGGACTAGCAAAAAGTGAAGAAAAGTCTCTGGCGCTTCTTCATCTTGCGGCGGAAGCTGGATTAGTAAAGGCTCAAAATGCTTTGGGATTGGATATCAAGGTGGACTTGGAGGAAGGGAAAAAATCTGCACGTGACCTGTACATGCTAGGGCGGAGCTTTGAAGACTTGGGTGAAGTTGGTGTTGCGCTGGAAATGTATAAAAAAGCGGAAAAGGCCGGATACTCAAGGGCGGGAAGAGCCAGGGTTAGACTTAGCTCACTTAGTTCCTAGACCAGGTTTAGGTTCTTAACATGACTTTTCAATCCATAACTATCAGGTCTGGAAGCAACAAAAAAGACCATTAGTATCGTTTCATGTTGACTTCTTATGATTATTTACAGTTATGAAGTCTCCAATTCTCTTGAATCAATCAATCGTGCAAGATAAAAAATCCAACAAAATTCATTCAGAAAATGTTGGCACACTTGTTATATCTAGTCTTATTACATAAGTTATATATGCGCAGTATCATGTAAATATTTAAAATTTATGAAATTTGCAGTTCTCATAATTCATTCAGACGAAAGGGGACTGTCGTCGTGATTTCAATTGATATCTTATTTAAAAAGAAACATGGTCCAATTTTCAACGGTACTTTATCACAAGCGTTATAAGTGTTGAACTATATACATATTCCTCAATTGGTTCTAAACAGTGCTAGATAAATAAAAGAGAAACCACATTTGAAAATAATTAAAAGATAAAATGGTGGATATTACATGCATTCTTGATCATACGAAGCTTATAAGGGTACCTTTGTGAATTGGATCTGTCATTTGAAATTAAGTCTACAGTCTGGTGAAACAAAAACCCCGTGAAATATATTAATCAAACTATTTCAGAAATATAGCAGGAAAAATGGTTTCCCTCAACCCTGTCAGAATCTTGAAGAATGAAGCCGATGAAGAAAAGGCCGAGGTAAGAAGAAAGAAAATTCAGAAATGAGGAATATTTTATAATCTCTCTTTTTTCAAAAGTTCAGATTTGGGGTTTAGGAGTAAAAAAGTTTTTTTTTGCAGTTTTTGGTTGATATTTCACCCCTTGGATCCGGATCCAGGAAGCCAAAATCTTGCGGATCCAATGGATCCGGATCCTAAGCACTGCTTAGAGGCCGTAATTTTAAACGCCCCTTGACTCCTTGTAACGATGGGAATGACCGATTCCTAACGGTACCATTGAAACCTTTATCTCATTAATTTAGAAGATATTGACGTTTTTCTAGGCACAAAAAAAAAACATTTAACCCAATAATTCAGAATTTGGTTTGGAACATTCAGTTAATTTTTACAATGAACAACTAAATGGTTTTCCGATCATTTTTAAATTACTTTCACAATTTGTTTGTAAAAAAAATGTGTTCAGGTTGCTCGTCTATCAAGTTTTGTTGGCGCCATGGCCATCGGTGATCTGATCAAGTCTACCCTCGGGCCCAAGGGTATGGACAAGATCCTCTGGGGAATGGGTCGTAACGACGGAACGATCGAGGTGACCAACGACGGAGCAACAATTCTCAGATCCGTCGGAGTTGACAATCCTGCTGCTAAAGTTCTTGTAGAGATGTCACGTGTTCAGGTAATAAACAATATTATTTAAATACGTTTATGGAAGATCAAAAGCTTGCGATGGAAAACAAGGCTTTATCGACTCACTGACTCAACCTTTTATTCTTACAAACACACTTTTACTCTGTTCTCTTTTACTTATTTACTTTCACTAACTTGCTCTTTGTACTGACCTGATGTTTCTTTATCTCACTTACTCTCATAAAAACGCTGACACTCACTTGCTGACTGAATTCCGGACATATAATTGATTGTGTTAATGCTTGACTGATTGAGAAACTTATTTTACGGACTGATCGATTGATTGATTGACTGACTTTCATGGGAGAAGGACATGGCTGAACAAGATTTAATTCATTTCCTTCGCATAGTGACTCACGACATTAGAGTGATTGTATAAATAGATAAATGACTGAGGGACTTGCTTAACTATTGATTGATTGATTGATTGATTGATTGATTGATTGATTGATTGATTGATTGATTGATCACTTATTTGGTTGATTGTTAAGGATGATGAGGTAGGAGATGGAACAACCAGTGTGACAGTGCTGGCCTCCGAGCTGATCAAGATTCGCTTCAATATTCTCTTGTACATTTTAAAAAAAGACACGAGTTGACAAGAAGAAATTCAGGATGCGTCGCTCTCCTTATAATTTTATTATCTATCCTGAGCACACGACACCCTATTTCCGGGTCAGGGCATTTTCAAACATGTTTAATTCATAACTGACGTAAAAAAAACGGTTTGTGAAAAAAATACACTAGATTTAAATATTCGAATACTTTATATTTTAGATTGCAAGGGAAGCCCTGGAAAATGTTGCAATCGATCATTCCTCAGATCCAGTCAAATTCAAGTAAGAAATTGAGAGACATAAAAATGTGTTTTACTCTTGAATATCATCAACCCACTTTTACACTTTATTATGATATTGTCGGGTATGGAGGATTGAATAATATTGTTGTTTATGGAGGATTGAATAATATTGTTGTATATGGAGGATTAAATAATATTGTTGTATAGGGAGGATTGAATAGTATTTTGCAGGGAGGATTGAATAATATTGTTGTGTTTGGAGGATTGAATAATATTGTTGTATAGGGAGGATTAAATAATATTGTTGTATAGGGTGGATTAAATAATATTGTTGTGTTTGGAGGATTGAATAATATTGTTGTGTAGGGAGGATTGAATAATATTGTTGTATATGGAGGATTGAATAATATTGTTGTGTATGGAGGATTGAATAATATTGTTGTATAGGGAAGATTGAATAATATTGTTGTATAGGGAGGATTAAATAATATTGTTGTGTATGGAGGATTGAATAATATTGTTGTATAGGGAGGATTGAATAATATTGTTGTGTAGGGAGGATTAAATAATATTGTTGTGTAGGGAGGATTGAATAATATTGTTGTGTTTGGAGGATTGAATAGTATTGTTGTATATGGAGGAATGAATAATATTGTTGTATAGGGAGGATTAAATAATATTGTTGTATAGGGAGGATTGAATAATATTGTTTTATAGGGAGGATTAAATAATATTGTTGTATAGGGAGGAATGAATAATATTGTTGTGTTTGGAGGATTGAATAATATTGTTGTATATGGAGGAATGAATAATATTGTTGTATAGGGAGGATTAAATAATATTGTTGTATAGGTAGGATCGAATAATATTGTTGTGTAGGGAGGATTAAATAATATTGTTGTGTAGGGAGGATTGAATAATATTGTTGTGTTTGGAGGATTGAATAATATTGTTTTGTAGGGTGGATTGAATAATATTGTCGTGTATTGAGGATTGAATGATAGTATTGTGCAGGGAGGATTGAATAATATTGTTGTTTAGGGAGAATTGAATAGTATTGTGTAGGGTGGATTGAATAATATTGTTGTGTAGGGAGGATTGAATAATATTGTTGTGTATGGAGGATTGAATAATACTGTTGTGTAGGAAGGATTGAATAATATTGTTGTGTTTGGAGGATTGAATAATATTGTTGTGTATGGAGGATTATTTGAGAAAGTACCTAATGTTTGTTTGATATCTTCAATTAATTTTTTGTCTTATTTTTGATTAATGCAGGTTGAAGGGTTCCGGTAACCTTGATGCAATCCAGATCACTAAAATCCAGGGGGGAAGACTAGATGAGTCTTTCCTCGACGAAGGTAAGCCATTGAATCATTCCAGCAATCACTAACGGGGTAGTTCTGATATTTGGGGGTTGTCCGGGGGTTCCATGTCTGGTTTCCTTTTAGATCTGTCTGTTATTTCCTATATTCTTGAATCCCATGCCAGGTACATGTTTGATTGGGTCAATATGCTCCTTAGTTTAGACTCTGAAACTTAAATCTTGCAATTCTGAGAAGAACCTAATTTACGCTGTTTTTTAACTTAATATTTTTCAGAGGGTAAATGTTTGCTTTCAATATTGTCTGGACGGTTATAAGTATTGTGTTTGAATATGTTTGAACTAACCAACTACAAATATAGTTCTTAAAGTATTTTTTCACTAATAAGTTTTTCTTTCCTTTTCGAATAGTTTTTTCTTTCTTTTCTATCAAAAACTTGTTAATCGTTTGTATTATTCAATTACGTTTTTTATTTGTTAACTAATTATTGAAGAACAGTGTGTAAATAACCCTGATGTTATTTACTAGACATATCTTGGATCCAAGTTAGATTTGATATTGTACTAGTCAACTGGATTTAATACTCACCAGTGATATTTTCGATTATTTTTACTTCTGTAAAGGAATAGGCATCTTTAGACTATTTTTTATACCCAATTTATCCAAACCTGTAAAATTACTCGAAATTTATTTGATTTTATCTCCGAATTACTTAAAATGCCTGAAACTCTACTTAAAACTTACAGAATTATTTTGAAGTCCTAGAATTACTTCACATTCCTGATGTTATTTTAACTCCCCCAAGGGTTCCTATAATGGAATTCCTACCAGTGCTTAGGATCCGGATCTGTTGGATCCGCAAGATTTTGGCTTCCTGGATTCGGATCCGCAAAAATATGCGGGTCCACGGATCCGGATTTAAGTTGCAAATAAACTTTTTGGATTTTAGTTTAATGGAGCGTTTTGGTGCCCTGAAAAGGTCAACTTCTAGGTCCCCCCTGAGTTTTTTTGTAAACAATAATGAAACTGTTTTTTAAAATATTTTTTTGTGGTTTTTCCAATTTTTTTTTGTGGTTTTTCCCCTCCCTCTTCCCCCTTTTCCCTTCCCTTTTCATTTTTCCATTCCCTCGCCTCTTTTCCCTTCCCCTTTGCCCCTTTTCCCTTCCCTCTTCCCTTTTTCCCTTCCCTCTTCCCTTTTTCCCTTCCCTCTTCCCTTTTTCCCTTCCCTCTTCCCTTCTTTCTTCCCTTCTTCCTTCTCTCTTCCCTTCTTCTCTTTTCACTTTTCTTTTTCCCCTTCCCTTCCCCCTTTTTCCTTATTTCTTCATTTTTTCCCCCAAATCCAATGAAAGCTCATATGTTCCCCCCCCTCCTTAACACCCCTGCAGAAAAAAGAAAATATACACCCCTGCCCAATTAAGAATTATTTTGCATTTAATCCTAGGATAATTCCTGTATGAATTTGAATTATTTTAAATCGTATTTAATTTCTAGGATTCCTCCTGAACAAGAAGCCCGGTATGCACCAACCCCAGAGATTAGAGAACGCCAAGATTATGATCGCAAACACCCCCATGGACACCGACAAGATCAAGGTCTTCGGATCCAGGTAGAACATCATCAGATGCAAATTCTCCTCATAAGGGTTCTGTCATAAGAAAAAAATAAACAACTCGGACTTGCAGTGCCACAATTACAAGTTTATACATACTAGCGGCGAATATGGGAACTAACAATTTTTTAGCATTGGCCGCTAGATGGAGCCAAATTTGATTGATGTCTTCAGTCTTCTTGTTGGGATACCTTCTAATCATCTTATCACCTTGATCAGATGGAGGGGTTGAAACATGAAATGAAATATCTATTCATTATTTCCGACTTTTTTCCTGAAAGTTTTAAGATAATAGATATATAAATCTGCCAAAACTCGGTTTAAATTAAGCGCCGACTTAAATCTTGAAACATTTGATACAATTTTGAGTGGAGCCAACTATATTATTTAAGCCGCGGCTTAAATTTAAACCGCCGCTCAAATTCTTTAAATTTGGCTACTGATTTTTAAAAACAATCACGTTTCTTTCATAGATTTTTAGGTTTTTTTGTTGACGTATTATTATTTAATATATTCATCGATTAAATCTATTGATTGTTTTTTTTAGGTTGATATGATCTGCAAGCACGACATGAACGTGTTCATCAACAGGCAGTTGATATACAACTACCCTGAACAGGTGAACATGAACATAAACAGTTAACACACTTTAAAATAGTGTCAATTGAAAAATGTGAACATTACAACTTTGTCTATAGAAAATTTAACTGTAAAAATAAAATATTTTTTGGCTACACAGGGATTTTTGCTAATTTTATTGCAATATCGGGAGATTTGGGTTCTTCTGACAAACATTTTTTACGACATGTTGGATAGTGATGCTGGTTATATGCTTTTAAGATCCGGTTTACTGGATTCCAAGATATTTGTGGATGCATTGTGATAGGGCATTTATGAAACACAGAATTATTTCTAGAAAATCCCTAAGACAAAATATTGTAATATCACATGAAGTCATACTTTTTAATTGGGGGGGGGGGGTGTTAGTTGGGCGTGGGATTTGGTCAGTAATATGTCAATTGTCAACTGTTAAGTTACATTGAATTTATTTAAATTTCTGCTTATCTGATTTCAGTATTTCAAAACACATCCTGACAACTGAACAATCTTTTAGTTGTTCGCTGACCGTGGTGTAATGGCTATTGAACACGCAGACTTCGACGGGATTGAGCGTCTAGCTCTCGTCACTGGAGCCGAGATCGTCTCAACCTTTGGCAACCCAGAGCTCGTTAGGATCGGCAAATGCGATCTGATCGAACAGGTAAGGGGAGGTATATGATCGGATTTCGCTCCCCCCCCACCTTTGTACTGATATAATTTTTTCAAGGATTTCAAGAATTTCATTATTTTTAATGATCGGGAGGCCGGGTCTCCATGTTTTCAGTAATGGATAAATTTTTATTTTTAACTTATTATTATTCAGGTTTCTATCGGAGAGGAGACTCTGTTGAAGTTCAGCGGAGTCCCCCTGGGTGAGGCGTGCAGTATTGTTCTCCGAGGAGCTACAGAGCAGATTATCGGAGAAGCTGACAGATCTATTCATGATGCTCTCTGTGTTCTAACTTCTACTATCAAGGAACCAAGGTTTGTTAAAGAGTAAGCGTAATTTCAAGTGACTCTCAATGCTAAAGATACCAATGTCTGATTTATAACGGTACCCTTGAAACCTTTATCTGATCAATAATGTGGAAGACTGTAGTTGTTCTAGGTTTAAAAGTGTTTGATTCCTACATGGTTTCCGGCAGTAAAAATCGCAAGTCTCTTATGTGGAAAACCCCACAATAAAAAAATAATCAATTTTCTGAATTAAAAACATTAATAACAAACTCTTACTTGATCCTACAACTCTTTTAATAGTACCGGACATTACCATCTTTCCATAGAGGGTTTAAGATTACGCAGTTCCTTCAAGCACTTAATCTAACTTAATATCTGACAAAATCATATCCATAGAACTGTTCTGGGAGGAGGATGCAGTGAAATGATAATGGCTCAAGCTATCTCAGAGTTGGCCGCTAAAACTCCAGGTATTTATATCTCAATAAATTCTTGACGTAGGAAAAATATTTAGAAAATGGTAATATAGATAGCGTAAATTTGAGCAAACCTGTAAAGTTCAATTTTGAGTTTTTCTTACTTTGATGACAGAATTAAAACAGTTAAAAAAAAAAAACTAAAAAAGGAATGATCAATGAACACCTTAGTGAGATACAAAAAGTTTGTTAGTTTTTGGGATTTTTTGGGCTTTTAAGGTTCCAAAAAAATCTGAAAGTTTTCAAAATTGTTTTTTTTCTCTCTAAAAAATGGCATTTCTTACACTATGCCTAATTCTGACCCTAAGAAAAAATATTTGTTTAACAACTGGAAGAAAAAATCATCTTTTTTGTATCAGGTTGAAATATTGCTAATAGAGATTTATAAATTTTGGGGCGTTTTAGAAAAATGACCTTCAAAATCAACAACCCCAACCATAATCTTAGCCAATCGGAGAGTGTATGTTATCTATATTTATTATGTTTTCTCATGATCAAGACTTATTTTGTTCTTCAGGCAAGGAATCACACGCTATGGAGGCTTTCGCCAATGCTCTCCGCCAACTGCCAAGTATTATTGCTGAGAATGGCGGATACGACTCCGCCCAGCTGGTTTCTGAACTCAGGGCGCTGCACGCCACCGGCAAGAACACCATGGGTCTCAATATGAACGAGGTGAGACATTTTATCAGAAAATAAGGGGCTAGAGCATTCAAGTGTACTTTTTAAAATTCTGTGATGGTGATGGACCAAACCTCTGTAGAGTAAAAAAGTAGATGTTAGTTCCACATTTATTGAAACTATATTTCGGTCTGGGTTGACCCTAGTCAGTTCTAACGATATAATAATACCATCAAAATCGATAAAAAAAATATAAAAAATGTTTGTTAAAAATCACAAGAAAATAAACAAACAAAAAAGATTATTCAAAATAAAAATTTGGGCTGTCAAATGGACATAAGGGAAACTAACTCAGATTATCAGATTGGAAAAAGATAATTTGCAAATATTCACATTAAAAAAATGTTTTAAGACAATTATTATTCCTTGAGATTGTTTCTGTCACAAAGGTTAAAAACAAACTGTTCAGTGTACTTCTTATCAACCCCATTTTTATCAATAAGCGCGTAAGTTCTAAGAGATGATATAAAAATAACTGAAAAATTAATCAATTAGAGATACAAATTAGATAAAATCCCTGCCATGTGTACTGTATTTTTCGTTCTATCTGCTTTTTTTAAATATTGCTATTTTATTTTATGTTGGAAATTGTTTTCTTTGTGCTAATATTTAACATTTGATTTGTAGGGCTGTGTTGGAGATATGTCCGAGATGGGTATAGCTGAGAGCTTCATGGTGAAGAGGCAGGTCCTGGTTCAAGCTGCCGAGGCCGCCGAGATGATCCTAAGGGTTGATGATATCCTGAAGGCCGCCCCCAGGAAGCGGGAGCAGGATAGATCACACTGCTGAACAAAATACTCACCACACAACACTAATCTATATGTCACGGTTGCTTCGTGATGTAATTTTTAATCACGGGTGCTCCATGACACTTTTAATCGCGGGTGCTCCGTGACGTAACTCTAACATGCACTGTAAACAACTAATATGATCTGTTGAAGTTCCAGTCCGTACACTATTGTGATCCTTGAACATTATTTCCTTGCAGATTTAAAATGGCAGCTGATCCCGTGGGATCTCCAGCAGACCTTTACAGGTAGACACAAGTTTTCTAAAAATCAAAAAAAAAAAGCTTTTTAATTTTTTTAACCCGATGGGAAAAAAACAGTCTGTATGCCAAATTTTAAGTTTTGAACAGTTTGGTTTTGAACCTTCTGCTTGTCGGAGCTCAAAGCATTTCATTTCATTTCATTTCATTTCATTTATATGATTTGAAATTTCTTTAAAGGAAAGGAAACGAGTATTTTGTGTCTGAAGATTATGACCGTGCAGTAGAACTGTACGCGGACGCGCTTGCACACGATCCATCTGTAACGGAATGTTACGCGGCAAGTGCTCAGGCGTACATCAAGATGGAACGCTTTCAGGATGCCAAGAAAATGGCGGACAGGTAAATTTAATTCGTATTGTTGCATATCTATTGTCATTTTTTGCGCAATTTTGATGATTATTTTTCCAAAAATATTCAAGCAATGGTTTTCTACTAAACAACCATTTTTTATCAACTCGCGGATTTTTCAGAATTTATTATCCAATAATGTATATATTTTTAAGAGGTGTTGATGTACTGCGGGGGCTGGATTCCAATGATGACCGAACAGTTAGTGAAACCAAGAAGTGTTTGCAGCGCAGTGGGGTCGCATCATTTCACCTCGGCAAATACAAGGAAGCTAAGAACTCATTTGCAGAGGCTGTCAAGTTTGATTCAACAGGTATAAAATAAATCAGATTTATGAGGGGTGTAAACTATGTATATATATATTTAGAATTAAAACAAAAATATTTTGGCGGGTTTTGTTAATAAACATAATTATTACAAGAAATGGGTGTGAATAATAAGACTTGTTGCTGATTTGGCTTTGTAGTAAATGCGATATAGAATGTGGTAAATAGTTATTCTTGACAAAAATAGAGCATAAAATGACTAAACGATGGTTTTTTGGAATGATATTTCAAGAGAGAGGGGGGAATGAGTATTCAGATACCCGTCTTCAGAATTGTAACAATTTTTCAATTGCTTCATTGATAATGTTCTGTTTAGATAAAGGTCTAAGTCAGTGGGTTGCCTGGTGTGAGGAAAAAATGATTAAATTTGGCGAGGACGCATCAAAGAAGTTGGACGAGCACGCCAAGGTTATCCCTGTACAAGATACTCCTTCTAAACCTGAGCCCAGTGAAAAGAAGAATTCGGAACCAAGTGAACCCAAAGCCCCCAGTTCTTCATCAGAACAGTGTTTAAACCAACCTGCATCAGACATCATGCCAACTCCTAAAATTAAGGTAAAAATTCTGCTTTAAGTTTTATGTTTTTCTATCAATGTTCTTCAAAAAGACATTGATTTGTTGCGAAAAGAAATCTTTTTGATTTTTTACTCGCTGGCGATTGGACATAACTTGCTTTGTGAGTTTTAAAGAAAATTTGTTTTAACTTCAATCCATCACTTCTTTCTTTACTTGAGTGAAATTTGTACTTCTAAAATGTAAAAAAAAATTATTAGTGAACCCATTCTAACTAAGGTTATTTCTTAGATTGCATATTTGAACATTATACTGCTCGATCCACTTTTTCTTAATTCTTCATGGTCTACATTGAATGCAAACGCGCATATAACAGTTGTTCCTAACATCATTAATGAAAATAAGAAATATATTCTTATTTTGTCTTGTTTAGCATGATTGGTATCAAACTGAGACTCACGTGATAGTTGAGGTTCGGATAAAGAGTCTTAAACCTGGAGAAGTAGAAGTCAACTTTCATCCAACCTATCTCAGTGTCACAGCTAAACTTAGCTCAGGTGAGTCTTCAAACCTTATGAAGTTGGTTTGAACTATTATCCCACTTCTCTCAGTGTCACAGCTAAACTTAGCTCAGGTGAGTCTTCAACCTAAAGAGGTTGGTTTGAACTAATATCCCAGTGTCACCGCTGAACTAAGTTCTGGTAAGTCTTCAACCTAAAGAAGTTGGTTTGAACAAATATCCCACTTCTCTCAGTGTCACAGCTAAACTTAGCTTCAGTTAAGTCTCCAACCAGTAGAAGTTGGTTTGAGCCAACCTCTCTTTGTCACAGCTAAACTAGCAATATCTCCATAATTATAATTATTTCTAGGGTCTGATTACAGTCTGGAAATAGATCTTTCTCATCCAACAGTCCCAGATCAATCTTCATTCAGGTTTGTACATTTTTACTTCTTATTTTATCGAAATAGTTAAAAATTAAATTTTTTTATTATTTCAGGATTCTTAGCACAAAACTTGAGATAAAGCTGCGCAAGGCAGAAGCTGTGCGCTGGACTTGTTTAGAGGGAGATGGGTTAGATCCTATACCTGGGGTAGTTGTCCAGCCTAGTACTTCAGGTATACCCCCCACCCCTCCACACACACACACACACACACACACCCCCGAAAAAAGGGTCAAATCTTTAACGCAACACATTTTCAGGGGATGGGGAGGAAAGGAGCGGGATTAGAAGGAAGAAGGGGAGGGGGGAGTTAAGAGGGGATAAACACGGAACCCATAAAAATATAACTTAACCTGAAAAAAAAAAAAAATACTTTTTTGCAGTTTTAATAGATATAATTGAAAATATTATTACAGATAGCCCGTATAGTACGTATTACGTCACCAGAACTTCCGCCAATGGCAGTGCAGTATACTGGTCGCGTGATAAATTGGTCAAACCCTGTAGGGATAACTTGAAATCGAGCACTAATCCTCAAACTTAAAAGTGCTCCCATTTGAAAACGAGATTAAAGAGACTGTAAGCGTAATTTCAAGTTACCCACCAAGCAAAGAATACAATGCCTGATTCACATCGGTATGGTGCTTTATCTGATCAATCAATTATAAAGCAGATATCAATGATTTTCGAAAACTGATAATTTTTCAATTGTGGTTTCTCTGCATAAATTGAATTGCGCATTTCTACTGCAGGAAAAAATATAGAAACTATCAGATTCTATCAATTTTCGATCTAGAAAAACGACAATATTTTCCACATAATTTATCAGAAAATAGTTTTAAAGGTATCTTTAACTTTGCAATTACGCTTTTAGTCCCAGATCAAGAAACGTTCTTATCTCTGATCTGATCTGATCTAATCTAGGAGTGAAGGCCCCGTATGCTAGTGGTCGCGACTGGAACAAGGTTGAGAAATTGTTGGAGAAAGAAGCAGATGAGAAGAAGGAAGGAGAAGCTGCTCTTAACGAAATGTTTCAGAAAATTTACGCAGATGCGAACGATGAGGTAACAATATTATATTAGTTGTATGAGGTAAGACCCAGTCCCAAAAAATATTTTGTGTCGTTTTAAAAAAATTGTTGTAAAATTCTCATATTCGATGTCGAGAATTGTGTGTACTTAATTTCAACTCACCAGTTCATTAGGTTTTTCTTCCAATAACAATCATTTTAGTTTTGGGCTTAAAATGGCGCGAAATTTGAAACTTTCAAATTCAGCAAAATGCTAATTTCTAATGTTAGCTATTTGTGTAAATTTTGAAACTACATTTACAGTTGAAAGTTTCTGTTCTTAAAATGGCGTAAAATTTGAAAATTTCAAAATCAGCAAAATGTTTATTTCTAATATTAGCTATTTGTGTAAATTTTGAAACTACATTTACTGTGTGAACTTGAAGGTTCGGAAAGCGATGAATAAATCCTTTATGGAGTCTGGTGGAACTGTACTCAGCACAAACTGGGCAGAAATCGGGAAAGAGAAGGTAAGTTTAAAATTCGGTGATGGTTATGGACCAAACCTCTGTAGAGTAAAAAAAAGTAAATGTTAATTCCACATTTATTGAAAACATATTTCGGTCTGGGTTGACCCTCAATTCTTGAGATTGTTTCTGTCACAAAGATTTAAAACAAGATTAGAGAAGGTAGCATTCCGTTCTTTCTCTTGCAATTAATGGTCCAGCAGCAGTCTTGTCTGCCAAAATTTTCGGGGATCATAAAATTTGTCCTTGTCCACTATAAAATCATATTTGATTTTGCATTCTGTTGAACTAGCAAAGATCGTGCTAGATTTGATTGTTAATTCACATCTAAATGCGTTCTTATAATGAAGGATATTCCGCAAGTCTTTTCTTTATTCTATTAATATACTGTGATTGACGATTATATTAATACAACGAAGACGACTTTTCTTTTTAAGTTTTAATTGTTAACAAGCTTTTTTCAAATTAACAGTTTACAAGTAATTAAAGAGAAGCTTTTTAAATTGACAGCTTTTCTGTGTTTCAATTTGTGTATCCATGCTGATTGAAAGCTTGATATGAATCAAAATTGAAATCTGAAGTCGTCTTCATTTTATTGATTAAATCGCCTACCACCGTACATTAACCTTGGCCTGGGGATCTACCACGATCGTCGATCATGAATTGAATTGAATTGAATCGAATCGAATCGAATCGAATCGAATCGAATCGAATTGTATCGAATCGATATTGTCATCTGAATGTATTAAACTAGTTCAGATACATTATTTGATTATTCAGCAAAGTTATTTATGCGGGATTCTAATTTACTGGACAATTGATTGTCTAGGAAACGCTAAAAATAAACTATGAAAATTTATTTATTGTCTAGGTTGAGGTAAAGCCCCCGGATGGAATGGAATTCAAGAAATGGGATTAATTTCTACAAACACAGCTCGACATAACTCCAGTTAAAATAATACAAGAAAGATATAATTCCTATTTTATGTTTTAAGTCATGAAAGTAAACGATAGGAAAGGATCTCTGTGACTGTTGTGGAAATAATGTTAAAAATAATTCATAATAAAGATACTTAATGTAAACAATTTTTTTATTCAAAACATTCGAAGTTTAAATCAAATTAAATATAGTTAACTTTTTCTTCCTCTCCCATGTCTTGAGCAGTATTTAAAGACAAATCAACACTCTACTCTCACCATGGAAATTCTATGTTTTTTGAAATTATGTATAAGTTATCTTAGCGACTTTTCAATTTTACAATTAATTAAAACCTGTTTCGAACGTTCTAATCTGATTTTATCGCACATAAATTAAATATATATTTAACAATCAACCCATAGTATTCGTGATATCTGTATTTGTGCTGTGTTACTATACAAAGAATGAAAAATTAAAAAGTTAATAATAATAATGAATCTTTTAGATAACATTAGTATGTCTTATAGAGACTGTAAGCGTAATGTCAAGTGACCTTCCATGCATTATTCTATTTGATACTAATTTGATGAAAAATGCGGACTCAAAAAGCGTCTATTTCTGTGAATTCCTTCATTGCTTCTTATAAGCAAGAAATGCGCAAGTCACTTTTGCTATGGAACTCCAAACGGAATTATCCTATTAATGATTGAAACCAAAACTTAATCTAATGAATCTGACCAAGGTTTAAAGGGTATTCGTTATAAATCAAGCATTGCTAGTTTTTCATACAGGGTCAATTGAAAACACGCTTACAAACCCTTTAAGGATGCTTATTGCCCATGGAATTATTTTTCTTAATCATTTTTTTTAGATTGTATCTTGAAGTTTAACGATGGATTAGTTTGAACTTTGCTCACTTGCGCCCATTTGATATTTAATATTTCGATAACATCTAATTATAAAATCATGCAATGTTGTCGAAATCTAAATCACCGTAAAAAAGTCTGTCTCCAATTTTCTGTCACTACATGGATAAATACGCCTTCGACATATTCAGCGCGACTGTCTTCTATGTGAATCAGTAGCCTCGACTTCACAGCAAGATGATCAAGAACATACGGGTTAAGCTTTGTAGTCTTATACCTATATATCACTTTCTTAATGTTCTCAAAAGTTTTAACCTGGGAAAATTAAGCCTGAAAATAACAGAACTAAGCTTGAAGGTTTTGTTTCAAGACTATGGATGGGTCAACCTACCGAACAATCCAAAGATGATTTCAAGGATGTAAAGGAAGTGGAAGTCTTAAGCTACACAAAATTCCAGAAGAAATTCTGCGGAGAAGCATTTTTCGAAATGTCTTCATTTAAAACTTTAATTTAACCTTGTAATCGTCATATTTTATGAGTTTACAGTCTCATTCTTTGTGGGTGACCCTGTTTATAATCCTGGATATGAAGTTTTTTCAGTTAACTCTATGAAATCATGAAAGCTTATTTCATCTAAATTAGAACTCTCGCATGTTTCTTATGCATGACACCTCTTTTTCTGAAGAGACACCGAATAAAGACAGTTTTAATAAAATCCATTTATGTAACCATAAAAGTTTGGTTGTTTGACTTTTGGGTGTTAAATGTAAACAAAGGAATATACGAGGTCACAAAGTCGCAATAGTAATGCCACACAGAATGAACGTCTTAAGGATGAGATTGAAGTGCAGTGTTATATAAAGCTCGAGTTTTCAAGAAATAATCGGTCCTAGTATCAGAAGAATCAGAACATTAATATTTTGGTCTCTGGTAAAAAGAATCAGAAACCCTATTTTCTTGCTTGCGAACAAGCCTTTGATGAAGGATGTGTTCACTGTTCAGAAATGTATTAAGTCAAACATCTTTACATATTATTGTAAAACTTTAGGAGGGCTTAGATTCTTGATTGACTGTAAGTCGGTAGATAAATAGGTTGATGGACTGTAGAGTTGATACTTAACTCAGACACTATTGTTGCAATATTCTCAAATAGATATATTTCAAACCTGCAATAGAATGCAGGAATAGTAAATCAAATGACAGTTTTACTAAAATTAAATGACAATGTTTTAATCTAGTAGAATATTTATTAATGTAACTTACTATGTTTTCCATGTTGCAGTAAAAAGGGAGTGATGGGATAATTTAAACATTTGTAAATACTTATAAAATATAAACCCGATAGTTTAAGTGGCATTTAAGGTTATAGATAACAAAGTTATTTGTGGATTTGATCTTTCACTAAGCAAAACATTTCACTGTTTGTTGTTTCTTTTGTCAGAGAGTTCAGAACAAATTGAGCTGAGACTCGTTTTGCTTTGGGTTTCTCTCCGAGAGGGGTTTTGGTAAAGACGACTTATGGGGGGGGGGATTAGAAGTTGTATTTATGGTCAACAATTATTTAGTATTGTTTGTATGCCTGATAAACTGATTTGATTTTAATTAGTTAACTTGACAGAACTGCGTGGATATTATCAGCAAGATAAAATAAGTGGGTTTACTTGGATGGTTACCCACAAAAGATGAGACTGTATTGTAATGACGACGCCAAACATGACGATTTGAAGATTAATTTTGGTTTGCTGCCTTATTATTTTAATGGTTTACAGAATGATTTATAATTCAAAGAAGCTTGCTTTGGCCTGCAGGGAAATATAAATGTAAAAATGTTATGCTGAAGCTAATTTAAAAATAAAATCTAACCTCCGTTTCCTTCTGCATAAAATCCGCCGGCTCTAGCCTAGATCTCCGCCTTGGTGTGGTGGCTGATACTCCTACTCTAACCTTCAGTCCTAGTACTCGCCATTTCCGCCTTGTCTAAAATGTATTAAGGTTATATACAGTTTAAAGCCGTTTAAAAGAAGGATAATGATTTTTCTTGAATGTGTATTTAGTGTTAATTAGAAGCATTATTAAGATACAGCTGCAGTGAAAATTTTGACAATCTGAAGCTTAAATCACGTGACCAGAACTCACGCCAATGGTACAGTGCATTATACTTGTCACGTTACAATTAGGTTTCTATGGGATATCTTCGTTTTCAGATTGGTTCCGTATTTGCTGAATATGATCTTTTTAAACCTACTATTTCTATGTATATATATGAATTTTTATATCAATTTCTCGAGACAGGTACATCAGATATAACTTTCATGGGTCGCGATCAAGAGCTAAAGTAATTAGCTTTCAGCTTATACCCCCTTTTAATTTTTCTTTACAGTCTCTTTAACATCTCAGTTCAACTGCAGGGAAACCCAGACTTTATAAATATAAACGACACTAATATTTATTCAGTGTTTTTCTTAAATGTAATCTTTTAATGGCTTATTAAATGATAATATACAGTGAGATCCTTAAAACTGTGGAATGAATATGAAAACGAAATTTAAGCAATCTATATGATTTTATCTTGTTTTTAAACAAAAATTTATCTGTAAATCTCCCATGAATGAAACTCTAAATTCTTACATTTAAAAAAAAATATTGTTTGTTTTTTCCTTGTTGTCATGTTGTAAAAGAATACATTTAAATTTTTAAGTGTTAAAATATTGTGCATTTGTACAGCTTCTTGTAACAACGGAATTTTTTTTTTTGAAAAAAAAACGTGTCATTAAATTACTGTTTGAGTAAAGATTAAGTGAAAATTGTTTGCTCAGTTCCTGTAGGTCCTGGGATCCCCCCCCCAACCCCCCCCCCTGGGGGAGGGTCCCAGGGCCCCAAAAACCCTGAAGCGGGAAAAATTGGAATACTGTAATACTATTAAAATAATTTTAAAAATTTTAAAAAGATAATAAATAAAAAGTTTGCTCAGTCCCTTTACATTTAAACTATTTTGTACATATTTACCTCTGATTTGCCTCCAGTATTTTTTCCAGCTTGAAAGTCTATTTCATGGACTTCATCCATTTTTTCAGAATCATCCTCGCGGATTTCATGCTTGGTTCCTGGTTCACTTTCATGGACTTCATTAGGGTTCTCATCGGATTTATTTTTATGGACTTCATTGGAGTTCAAAGATTCATTTGTATGGAATTCAATGGTTTTATCGGATTTATTTGCATTTGGGATTTTTGAGTTGGTGTCATCATTTTTAGAATCCGTTTCTCTGCCATTTGATCCATTTTCAGTGACTCCGTTAGGTTCAAGTTCTTCGGCATTCTCAGAGTTTTGAATAGTTTCTTCTCTAATTACTTTGCTTGGGTTTGGAACTCCATCCTGGCTATTTTTCAGTGTACTGTCGGCTAGTTTTTGTAGTACGCAAACCTAGAAAAAAGATAGAACGTGAAAATGTTTTTTAGTAAGTTGATGAACAAGTTTTAAATCACATTTTTCTAAATGTATTAGTTTAGTAACATTGTTAAAGAAGTTTGATACTTTTGTGTTAAATGCAAAAATCATCTGTCCTTTGAAACTAAGGTTTAAGGTTAATTAATTGCAAATTCCAAGCAAAACATTTTATAAAATTTATTTTTACCTTTAATCTCCATTTTTCTACCTCCAACTCAGCCTGGAGGAGACCCTTTAGAGCTTTATCCAAGCTTAAATTTGGAAATGTTTATTGCTTAATTATGTAAGATAGCTCTTGAGTGTTGGAACCATCAATTAAGATGGTTGAACGCCAGTTGGGAAGTTGTATCACTAATTGAGACACTAGCTTGGAAAATTGGAACACTTTCTTAGTATTTTGGAAGACTAGTGCGTTTGTTGGAACACTACAGTTTTGACGTTGGAACGTTAGATGGGAAGTTGTATCACTAATTGAGACAATAGTTGGGAACGTTGGAACATTAGTTGAGATGTTGGTACATTAGTTGGGATGTTTGGAAATTAGCAGGAATGTTGGAACACTATTTAAGACGTTGCAACAATAGTCAGGATGTTGGTAAATTGGTGGGAATGTTGGTATACTAGTTGAGACGTTGCAACAATAGTCAGGATGTTGGTAAATTGGTGGGAATGTTGGTACACTAGTTGAGACGTTGCAACACTAGTTGGGATGTTGGAAAACTAGTGGGAATGTTGGTACACTTGTTGAGACGTTTTTACACTAGTTGGAATGTTGGTATATTGGTGGGAATGCTGGTACACAATGAGACGTTACAACACTAGTTGGGATGTTGAGGAATTAATGGAAATGTTGGTACACTAGTAGAATTACTAGTTGAGATATTGGAACGCTAGTTGGAACAGCAGATGGGATGTTTGAAAACTATAGTTTGGGATATTAAAACCGTAGTTGGGTTTTTGGAACGTTCGTCTGGAGTGTTGGAACAGCAAATGGGATGTTTGAAAACTATAGTTCGGGATATTAAAACCGTAGTTGGGTTTTTGGAACGTTCGTCTAGAGTGTCGGAAAACTAGTTGAACTGTTGACAACAAATTTCTTTAAAAATGTAGAGATCAGAAAACTAGTTGAACTGTTGACAACAAATTTCTTTAAAAATGTAGAGATCAGAAAACTAGTTGAACTGTTGACAACAAATTTCTTTAAAAATGTAGAGATCAGAAAACAAGTGTGTTCAATTTCCTGCAAGAAAACATAATTTAACCTTCACACTTTCTATTATCTTCACTTCTTTGTTGATTGTAAATTTTTTGTTTTGTTGTTAATGACGGGTTACGTGAGAAAACAAACTCATGAATTCTCTGAGCTTCTGAATTAGTTGAGAGAGGTCAGCAAGGACAAAATCTAGACGCTGCTTTAAGGGGGCAAAACAGTGTGTGAGGTTGAACAAATTCTACTAAATATTAGTTTATGGATTGAATATTTATGCGAACCAGAACATCTTTACGCCAAAATCAAATAAAAAAAATTGTATTAGTATTGTGACCTCACTGACCTTCAAGCACAGTGTTGTGAATTTTTTTCTGAAATTTAGTATTTGAATAGAATTTGCAAATGTGAAAAAAACATGCAAAAAGAAAAGAAAACAAATATGCAAACAAAAAATTGGTAAATGAAATGAATAAATGGGTTATTGATTTAGTAGTATTGATATACTAAAAAAAAAACTAAAAATAAATACAGAAAAACTTTTGAAAAGGCGGGAGGTTTACAAAAAAGTATAATGGGCNTGGGCGCGAAGCGCCCTCTAAGGCTAGTATATATATATATATGAGTACATAAATAGAATTATCAACTTATGATGGAATAAAATTAAGAAAGAATTGGCTCCTCCTATACCTCTGTTAGCTATGCTGAACCGGACTCTATAGTAAAGCTGATTTGTGAGCTGGTCAGCTTCGACTGATACAGGTAGAAGGGAGAAAGTAAAATAAATCTAAAAAGTCCGAATTTCAGGGGTTCAATGCTTAGCAAAGGGGGGGGTCTATTCAGATATTAGAGACATAACAGAGTTTTTTTTCACAAATTGTTGTTATTTTAACCCCACTGCTCTTATAGCCTTTATAAATTTATTTGCTCATATATCTAAATTTATATATATGCTCGCTATAGCTGGTCAAACGGTGGACTAAATTGGCTGGTTTTTTAGGAAACCCATGGTAACCCGAGTGGTCACATAGGCTAAACAAATATTTTTTAAAAAAATTTAAATTCTACGAACAACGCTGGGCAATTCAACTAAAATCATGATTGAATACCAAGCACGGGAGTAATCATGAGGTAATAATATTATATAAACCTGGTTAAGCAAGGTACTCCAGTTGTAATTTCGATCCTGTAAGGTGCAAGCGCATTGCGCAAAGAGTAAAAGGATCCTCCATAACCTCCGGATCCTCCTCAATCTCATAGATCCTTTTTAAACCCTTGAATTCCAACAAAAACTTGAGATCCATGAAATACTTTAAAGCTTTAGTAAATAAAGTCTTTTACGCTATTTTCGACGTGTTTTGAATACAAATCAAAATAAGTCGCTACAGAGTACAGATCATGGGTTTGTTCTACGTTTCTAATTCAATGATACCTTTTTTGTAATCCTTAACAATATTATTTATGATCAACTAGTAAAATTCTGAAATTTTAATTTTACCTATACAATTTTTTAGCCAAAAAACTGTTTTTATGTATCATGAAATTACTTTTATAATATTATCTAAATAATTATACTAATTTTGTGCGAATATGATTCATGATTCCTAAGTATATGAGAAAAAAATAAAAGTATCTGAAGCATAATAAGTATGATGTATCTTAGAATCTATAATTGAAATTAAACATCTGTTCTAAATTGTAAAAGAGAGCAACGTTGACCCGTAGTAAACCTTATTAGTTTAAAATTCAAACTTGTGAGGTTATATCGATTTTTCAGTTTTTCTTCTGATCGTAAAATGTTTAAATTTTTTATCGAATTGCATTTAAAAGTTAAAGGAACTGAACAGTTGTCCTAAACACTATTTTCCTACGGTGGTAGGCGATTCTATCAATATAATGAAGACGACTTTTGATTTGCGTTTAAATTGTGAACAATTTTTTCGAAATAAAAATTGGAAGTAATTAAAGAGAAGCTTTTTAATTGACAGCTTCTCTGTGTTTCCATGTTTTTATGTAACCATGTTGTTTAAAACCTTGATGGAAATCAAAATTAAAATTGAAAGTCGTCTTCATTATCTTGATATAATCGCCTACCACCGTATTCTCTATATCTTTCCAACCTTATGGTGTAGACATTTGATACTTAAAATGTTCATCGTTATATGTAGCCGAATTCACAGTTTGAAATATCAAAGGTTTACAATATCAGATTTCAAAGATACAGAGAGATTGTAAGAGTCTATTGTAAGTGTGCCGTCTCGTAAAATAAAGATGTCAGAAAATAACGAATACAATCAGCATTTCTTGTTAAAGAGACTGTAAGTGCAATTTTAGCCGAACCCTCTACGCAAAGATGGCAATTCTCGATTCACAACGGTACCCTTGAAACCTTTAACTGATCGACAATAAGGATGATATTGTCGTTTTTCTAGGGTTTAAAATATATATGTTTTCCTGCACTAGTATAAAATCGGGTTTCAAAAATATAATCATAGAAATCTAATTCATACTTTATCTTGTAGGAAGCTTTTAAGGGTACCGTTGTAAATCGGACATCGCCATCTTTACATGGAGGGTCGCTAGAAATACGCTTACAGTCCCTTTAATCAAATTCAAAAATATTGCCAAAACTCAAAACTATCAATTCATATTTTATTCATTCTCAGCTAAGCTTAAATTTAAATTTATTCTGTGTTCAGTTTTAACTTTTAAGTCTGCATGCATTGTAATGTTTGTTTTTCAGATTTGATCATTCATTTTTAAAGGGATCGTGATGTCAGCCCAAGATACATTTTGTTTTTCTAAGGTTTTTTAAAAAACGTGCAAATTAGATTTAGTATTTCAGCAAGAAAGCCTAAACAGTATTAAGACCTCAGAATATATATACTATAGAATAACAGGTGGCACCTGTATTGGTATGACAATGTGAACATGTATTGGTATGTTATTGTGTACATGTAGTACACTGTTCTTGGGGGGATTTGTTTTGATCAGTTACATGATTTCTTAGTATAAACAAGCATGAGGATTGTTCAGTATTAAATTGTTACACGGATCAAACATATAAGATAAGATTTCATTCTTTTCCTAAAGATGAAAAGTTTAAAAAAAACGTGGAGTAACTTCACAGGAAAGCCAGGTTTCTGGACTCCGGGAAAATTTAGTGTTGTCTGTGCAAAACATGTTGAAAACAAATACGTTTCTGGACGAAAGTTAAGTTATAACGCTGTTCCCAGTCTCCATCTTCCCCAACATCCACATCAACAGGAACAGTATATATATTCTGAGATTAAGACAAACAAGAATACAGTTCTGAGTCATTCACGAATTACGACACGTTATATAAGGATTAACAGTGGAAACCTTTAAACATTATTCTAATAAACAATGTGAAAGATATCGTTGTTCTTATCTTTAAGCTTGTTGAATTCTGACAATCCCTTTTTTGTCTCTGTAACGTAAATTTGGAAGTTAAAGATAAAGCAAAACTGAAAATAATCAAATAAGAAATATCTCATTTATCCTTGACAAGACGTTTGAAAGGTATCGCCATGAATTTGACATGCCCCTTTATAAGTGGAGGGTCATTTATACACTTATACAGTCCCTTTAAAAGAAGGTCCTTTGGAAGTAACGTTAACAATCCCTTTAAAAACAGTATCGCATACAATCCCTTTAAAAACAGTATCGCATACAATCCCGTTAAAAACAGTATCGCAAACAATCCCTTTAAAAACAGTATCGCATACAATCTCTTTATGAGAAAATGATATCTAAGTTAAAACCAAATATTCCTATTCTGGTGTTCATCTGCTCATCACTACTTCTGGGAATTTGGAGATTTTGAAAAAATATTCTTTTTTAAATTAATATTTCTCAATTCACCCTGGAATCCACTTTCAATCATTAAAAGCATATATTGTCTTATTTTAATATTCTAAACTTTATTGTCAGGTTTTATGATTTAAAAATCAAAACAAATCAGGTTAAAAAATAATGTTTTAAAATTCCTATTTCAAATATGAAATTACTTTTTCCTAACAAAAACCTATTTTAAAAAAGCATTATAGAAAATTCATATATACGCCCCTATAGCAATGTGTATATCATCTATATGAAAATCAGTATTTTACTTGAAAATTAGTAAAGAAAGGTTCAACCTCTAGTTTCAAATTTTTTTCATTCTTAGCGTTGGGAAAGGTTCCAGAAGATTACAGAACCGGATTGATCCGGTAAAATAATTGTAATCTTAATTCTGGCCGTATCAGAAATAAAAACAGTCAAATTTTAATCTCTTTTTCATTTTTCATAAAGGAGCTTTTTTATAACATATAAGTCCAAGAAAAAAGTATAAAACAAAAATTTAATGTTTAAAACAAAAAACTTCCTTTTTCTTGAATATTTAATTTTGATTGACACCTGTCAGTGTCATTACATTTGATCAAGAAATCTCATGAAATTTAAGATTTTGCTCGACAAGCATTCCCGAACTCAAATATCCTACGGTCGATTAAAAATAGGAAAAATGGAATCGAAGGAGGAGTTTATCAAAGGTTCTTATATTTTTATATGTGTATTCCAAAAAAGTTGCAATTTATACTCTTAACAAAACATTTATGTCTTCGTTGCGTTTTTCAAAATTTCATACAGTGATAACCAGAAAACAATGGAATAGAAAGACGACACTATAGCAATACTTAAGTGTTTTGGTGTTACAAAAAAATTTTTTTTTAGGAACTTAGCCAAGCACAATTTAAGTGATAAGGGTCTATTTAAACTGTACAATTGGTATGTCCCATGTTCACTGAGCTAGTTAAAGTCCTAACTTGAGTTTAAAAGTCGTCTTCCTATTTCAGAGTTTTCTGGTTATCACTGTAGATATTGATTTTAAAAACAATTTTGGGGTTCTCTAATAAATCTAAATATAAACTAAATTTTAAAATACAAAAAGTCAGATAGCTTATCAGAATTGCTTGTTATTATTATAATGACAAAATAATAAAGGTTTAGAGAATCAAGATTTCAAAACTGTATTATGTTAAAGTTTTCAATATCTTTATCCAAAAAGAAGAAAATTTAAAAACCATGCAAAGAAGATCTTTACTACACGTTCGATTTTGTATCTTTTTTCATATAATAAAGCTCTTCTCTCATATACAGGGTTATCCACAAAGAATGAGACTTCAGAGACGATTGTACAGAAGCTGTTTAGTCCACTTTCTTACATTCAGGCCAAAACTGACTTATTTCTGTGCTTCTTCATTTATTTAACCATCAAAATACTCAATTGAATGCAGAAACCCAAGTTCAAGCTTAAAATCGTCATATTTTTAGAGTTTTGCGCCGTCTTTATAGACTCATATTTTGTGGGTAAATTATCGTTTTTGCATCGTTTTTTTTGGGTCGTTTTTTGCACATAATAAAGCTTTTCTCTCATATACAGGGTTATCCACAAAGGATGGAACTTCAGAGACGATTGTACGGAAGCTGTTTAGTCTACTTTCTTGCATTAGAGTTCCTGAAAGGCCAAAACTGACTTATTTCTGTGCTTATTCATTTATTAAACCATCAAAATACTCAATTAAATGCAGAAACCAAAGTTCAAGCTTAAAATCGTCATATTTTTAGAGTTTTGCGTCGTCATCATAGACTCATCTTTTGTGGGTAACCCTGTATATCTTTTGCCAGGGTCTTTAGAATAAGAAATGTTAAAAACATTTCCTACTCTTACATTCTGCAAAATTTTGAACCGGAAACAAAATGTCTGCAACAAAACGACCGAAAAAAACGGAAACTGACTTCATCAAACATGTTCGTTATTCATAACATGTTATCCGTAATAACAAATTACTGAAAGTTTGTTAGATTAGAGTTTAAAAGGAATTGAGTATTTGCCACAAACTCAGATTTTCTAAACCCTATATCTTTTTGAACCAATGTCTTAAATGTTTAATATTTCCAAATATTAATTCTGTTAGATCAATTAAATTAAGTTTAAAATATCAAAGGTCTACACCATCAGATTGAAAAGATATAGGGATTAGATAATTTGAGTTCGTTTCCGGAATTCGATTCCTTTGTGAGATATTCGTAACACTCTTTTTGTAATTTCAAACAGAATTTTCCCAATATCTTATGCTTTTGGTTGCTCACCAAATGTTATGACTATATATACTGAACCAAAGTATATTTTAGATGCACGGATAGAAGTTAGAAACCTCTCTAGTATGCAATCTTATCCTGAAACAGTTCTAAATGGGTAGGATTTGTAACATTTAAAAATAAGTAATTTGAGCAAATATGGATAATGTAGATTAATCCTATTCCGAGGGATGGGGGGGGGGGGGTACATATGATTGAAAATTGAACAAAAAATGTTGAAGTATCGTCTGCACTGTTCTTAAACCCTCCTCATTACAACATACCTCGAGATTTAATATAGCACTAACCTTTATTTTAAAAAAGTATCCCAGCGAGATAGGATTAAAAAAAAATGAATTACAAAGTTTAAAAACTGTGAATAAAGGTTAGTTAATAGAACATTTATATTATCTTAACATTTGACTGACAGGACATTTATAGTATAAAAATCACTTTCATTCGACAAATTCGACAAATGGAACAATTTATGGTAAAAACTGACATCATTCGACAAATGGAACAATTTATGGTAAAAAGTGACAGCATTCGACATATGGAACAATTTATGGTAAAAAGTGACATCATTCGATAAATGGAACAATTTATGGTAAAAAGTAACAGCATGCGACAGATGAAACAATATATGGTAAAAAGTGACAGCATTCGACAAATGGAACAATTTATGGTAAAAAGTGACATAATTTGACAAATGGAAAAATTTATGATAAAAATTGACAGCATTATCAAACATCTAGTGAAACGCGACATTCGACAGATGTACATTTAAAGTAACTCTTGGCAGTCGATTGTTGAGACATCTAGTGACACGCGACATTCGACAGATGGACATTTAAAGTAACTCTTGGCAGTAGATTGTTGAGACATCTAGTGACACGCGACATTCGNTCGTTATTTTTTTAGGAAATAAAGAGTTTTCTGCATTATCGATTTTGATTCGTGGGTTATACCTTGTCTAACTGTTCATCGTCAGAATCTTGTTTCTTAGCGACAACAACATTATAGGCTTAAAAAGTACAGTAAAGAATATTGCCTAGATCTTATTTACTGAATGTACCTGAGGACTTGGAGTTGAAAGAAGAGATAACCTACAAGGTTCCAAAGTACGTACAGTATTCGTTGTATATATTAATACAATGAAGACGACATTCGATTTCAATTTTGATTTCTGCCCAGCATTTAAACACCATTGATTCAATTATACATAAACATAGAAACAAAGAGAAATTATTAATTAACAGAATCTCTTCTGTTAAGTTATATACTTTTATTTTGGAAAAAAAATCTTGCTAGAAGTAAAAAGAAAGTCGTCTTCATTGTATTGATATTAACGCCGACCAGGTATTTTTCCTGAAAAAAAAACTAATTAGGAAAAAATATTTGGAATTCTGAAGAAGTAAATCGCTCATCAAAATTCCCCACATGACAATATAAATTATAAAATTTTAAACGTGAAAACTTTAAATCTAAAAAGTTGTTANCACAATGTTGATCAACTTCCAAAATTAGTTTTTGTACGATGCTACATGTTCTTTATTCATTTAGAACGTTGCATTTTCTTTGGTTTGGAAATCTAATGGATGAAAAGAATCAGACAAATATTCTTTCCTTTAGAAGAAATAATCCTGAATACGAGGTAATACAGTCTGCATTATAGTACATCTTGTCCTTGCTGCTGAAAGACAGTCTGGTACTTCGAATGAATCCGAGTTTTCAGTGAAAAATGAATCATTATGTTTCAAGTTTCAATTTTGTCTTCGATATAAAAAAAAATTAAGTTATAAACTTTTAAATTTTGAAATTCTGCGATTTTTTCTTCATAAAATGCGCGAAATTCTTTTTCAACTTTATAAAATGTTGACAGCTGAAATAAGGAAGTTTTATTTGAACTATTTTTTAGATATTCTTGTACACGGAGATTATTACAGATGAATTAAAGAATAACTTAACAGGAATCAACATTGTAGATATTAATAGGTAAATTCTTTCTAGATCTCAGAAGGGTTAGTACTAAGCCAGTGGGGTCGGTCAAATAGGCCTAGGATAAGGCCGGGTACTGTAAAAAGTCTGAACGCGCCGGGAGTTGTCTTAGTTAGCCCTCCAACGGGACTATGCCAAGAAAATTGACCCCTGTTGTTACTAGTCTGGATCGGGTCAGTACACGCTGTTATCTGGCAGGACGGTACAAACTGGGCAGGTCCTGTTCGAATTCAAATTTACTACGGCCCAGAGTGACTTGGTAGAGATAAACGTAATTTCTATCGACCCTCAGTTTATAGAGTGGTATGTTCTATTCACAAAGGAACCCTTTTAACCTTTGTCTGACCAGTAATAAATGAAATATTTTAGTCTTTCTTAATTGAATATTTTTTCTTGTGGGGTTTCTTTAAAAATGACTTGCAGATTTATTGAGCTGAGAAGTAAAGAAAATTGTCAGAATTCAACACACGTGAAGATAGAACATCATCAATACCTTCCTAATTTACTAAAGCAAAGTGTTAAAGGTTACGGTTGTCAATCGGAGTTGCCCACTTTCAATTACACTACTGCAGTCCCTTTAAACATTTATATTTTAGTGAAATACAAAATTACCGAATAAGAGATCTTTTTGATGCTGAGGTAGATTTCAGAAGGAAGTCGGATATTCTTCGCTATGAGGTATATTTATAGTATAATAGCTTGAGAACCCAGTGTGGCCCAGGCCCGGGAGTCATAGTTAATCCCACCGTTTACCCGTCACTTGTCGTAAATTACGATTTTAGCTATTTTTCCTGTTAAAAGTGAACATGCTTAACTTAATATCTCAAAACCAAATGAGGCAAATCGGTCCAAAGGTTCCTGAGTTATGATCAGACAAAGAAAAAAATAAACAAAGATTAAAACTTTACATATATATAGACACTTCACAATCATAGGTCAAAACTTTTGAAAATTTAAAATTTGAAAATCATTTTCTTTTTTCTTTCAGATTTCACAATTTCTTTTAAGAAGTGTTGAACACAAGGACGACATTCTGTAAAATCCTGAACTTTTTACAATTTGTCAAAATTATAAATTTTTTCGCTGCTTTTTAATTTGACAAAATACCTTAAAAATAGATTTGAGGTTAAATACATCATAATCATACGACACACTGCAGTGTGGGTAACCCAGAGCCTTGTAGTTTTTAGAATAAACCAAATAGGTTATCAACTACAATAGGTGGCAACAGAGAAATGGATCAATTATACACGACGTCACAAGTGTCAAATATAAGAAAGCAAACGAAATTTTCTCACATTATTTGACATGTTTTTCAAGATTAAATAAGAAATTGTAAAAACAGAAAAGACAAAAAATTGCACCTTTTTCACTGTAAGATAAGCTCTTTACTCTGAAATTATCACTATTATTAATAATTTTGTCGGACACAAAAACTAAGTTGACACTAAAAATCATTTTCTTTTTTCTTTCAGATTTCACAATTTCTTTTAAGAAGTGTTGAACACAAGGACGACATTCTGTAAAATCCTGAACTTTTTACAATTTGTCAAAATTATAAATTTTTTCGCTGCTTTTTAAATTGACAAAATACCTTAAAAATAGATTTGAGGTTAAATACATCATAATCATACAGGGTGTCCCAAAAAACATGGGAATTCAGTGACGAATTCGAAAACGTCTTTGTTATGAATTAGCATTGTAATACCTAATTTCAAAAGCCATAATATTATTATGTCTGCTAGAGTTTATTTTATGAAAAGTGCATAGGACTGTAAAGATGAGCCTATAATGTCTCCACAAGATGAACAGTGAAGATGGACAAGTTTACGCTGTTTGTATACTGCAATTTTCTTGTTTTACAAAGTACAATCGTATACAGTCAAAACATAAACAAACAAAATGGGAACATAGCAGACGAAACTCTTACAGATGATAGCTTTCTCAGTAGGTATCACTATACTAAATCAAAGAATTATTTAAAAAGACGATATCGAATTCGTCACTGAATTCCCATGTTTATTGGGACACCCTGTACGTCACACTGCAGTGTGGGTAACCCAGAGCCTTGTAGTTTTTAGAATAAACCAAATAGGTTATCAAGTACAAAAGGTGGCAACAGAGAAATGGATCAATTATACACGACGTCACAAGTGTCAAATATAATAAAGGAAACGAAATTTTCTCACATTATATGACATGTTTTTCAAGATTAAATAAAAAAATGTAAAAACAGAAAATAAATAAGACATAAAATTGCACCTTTTTCACTGTAAGATAAGCTCTTTACTCTGAAATTATCACTATTATTAATAATTTTGTCGGACACAAAAACTAAGTTGACACTTGTGATGTGAGAATTCAGCTGTACTGAGAGTGTACAAATACTGCTCTGCCATCTATTGTACTTAAAAATCTATTTGGAATAAACTGTTGTTAAGATATTTTTCAGATAATTTACCAGAATGGAGGGGTCTACTTTGATACGGACACAATAAGGTTAGAAAAATATTTTAGTGTTGCATGATCTTGATCTCTATATCCAATGTGGTCATTTTTGAATTTGAGGATCAATGCATGATCTCTTAACTAAAGTTACTTTTGCAATAGCAGGGTTTGATTATTACAGGATATAGAAGAGAAATTAGATTAATCCGCAGATCTACATAAGAATGTATACGCCATACGGGAAAAACCGCTTAAAATAAACAAATTTTTAACTTTTTTTTAGATTTTTGAAGAAAAAAAGTTTTTTTTTAATCTATTGTTAGATGAAATGCTATCTTTAAAATCTTCAAATAAGAACTTTTCCGCAATAATAATTTCACTTTATTAAGAGATCAATGATTAATCCCGAGATTAACAACACAAAAGATCTGACTTCAGACCTGAAAACTTTAAAATGAGATATCCTTAATCCCGATTACTTAATCTGAGTATCCAATTGACACACTTTTGATTATCTTTTTAAACCATTCTTTTTGGATATAGTAGAGAAAAATAAAAAACCGATCTTTCTAAATTAGAGAGTTCCTCCCATTTCTGTATAAAATCTTAAATGGCACGCAAAATATCAAATTTATCGGCTTCATATACGCGACTCTGATTGGTTGAATTTTATACACTTTTCAGTATACAAGTACATGATAAGATTAGTCTCGATATTATGAAAAAGAGAAGATCAAGCATCAATCTCGATATCCACCATTCTATATATATATATATCCATGTACATGATAAGATTAGTCTCGATATTATGAAAAAGAGAGGATCAAGCATTAATCTCGATATCCACCATTCTAAAGTTTTCAGCTCACACACTTTCAGAGATAAGACAGTTTCAACAAAATCCATAGCGGGAGTTTTAATTCTAAAGAAAATTTAAAAATATAAACAACTGTTCTTCTCAGTATTTAACTTAATGAATTTTCACAAATAAGAAAAAGCTGATCACAAGCACAAACATATATTAAAATGATAAGAATAATCATAAAATTCATATTACACTAATTATTTTTCAGGGCTCTAATTTTTTACGATATGTTTTAACAGTTTTAAGATGGAATATTGAAAGCATAAACCAGGAAAAGAAATCCTTTAAAATACATTTTTACTATTGGAGGCTTTTTTCATTTCAATTTTCCAATTCCGTTCTTTAGAATTCTTAAAATGATCGAGACCGGAGGTATTTTTACTTTGAGTAAAACTTATATGATACAGTTGCAACCCACCCAAAATTTTACTTTAGCAGTAATATTTCAAAAACTAAAAAAAAGAATTTTAAGCATTGTTCATTAATAAAAGTATAACTTTAAGGAGGTAGAGGTTGGAGTATCAGGGTGTTCAGTATTTAACGCGGCATTTGTAATTTTTTTTATAATTTTTAAATATTTTTTATCTTTTTTAATTAAACTTTGACTTTGTGTATATTGAACAATTATGATGTTTCTTTATAAAAGTATTTTAAGAAAAGTTTTCGTCAATGTTCAAAATTGAATTTGTCATTTTTTTTAATAAGATTAAAGATAAAAGATTAAAGATTAAAGATTAAAGATTAAAGATTAAAGATTAAATCGATTTGAGATGGAGATAATTTAGAATGTTAAATTAAGTGAGTTTATACTTTATAGATAAAAAACATGCCATTTTCAGCTCATTCAAATATTTAATTTAATAAAAAGTAAACCTTCAAATCCGAAATGTATAGTATGGGTCAAAAAGATTGGCGGTCTAGTGAAGGCTAAAGCATTCTGTAAAAAATTTATTTTCATAATTTAAAACAGGGAAAGGGACATTTGGTTTTGCTACTGGGAATAAAGTGGATCCAGGTTTTGAACTCTTTATAGGTTCTTATGTGTTAATCAGAGTTCTTTCCCAAGCTTATCACCGATGATAGCCCAAAGATTTTTGATTGGAGACAAGTCAAAGGGTTAATAACCGAGGGAGAAGGGGGGGGGGCGCATGCGGCCATGAGCCCAGCAATAGCCTGTTCAACCACAGAGTCCCAGCAAAAGACTGCTAAAAAAACCTTTATTGATAATTGACTTTAAAAATAACAAATTTCAAAAATAAAAACGCGGGGGAACAGGTTACACACTTCTCTTAGCTTAATTAATACAAGAATGTGTAGAAAGTATGATATTCATAATTCTTTTATAATTCATAATATACTTAAAAAATTTGATGCGTCAAAAATCATTTTTCTGCAGACACTGGGCCGGGGCTGATATGCACATTATCCCCCAACAAAAAAATTTGGTCAACTACAGTGAAACCCTTAATAACGAATACATCGAAATAATTCATCAAATGTCGTATTCTTCACTTTCTGATAATGGAATGTTGCAGATATTTAGTTTTTTAGTTTGATAAATTCTTCCGATGTATTCGTTATTAAGGGTTTCACTGTATAATGTTTAAATATAATTCTTGTATTATTATTAGGTTAAATATAATGATGCAAATATTAATATAATTCATCAAAAATACCTTCTCACATTCTCAAACCTATCAATATCATATAAGCAAGGTCAGTTTTATAGAAAAAGTTAATTAAATATTTCTTTAATTCTATTATAAAAATATATTTAGAAGCTGGTGATGAACTGCACTGAAGAAAAGAGCATGCTTGTTGCAAAAATGTTTTATTCTTCTTTTTGTTGATAATTTGATTTTTAATTAAAATTTTGCACACATTGCACACGTTTCGTTAATAGAAATATTTTTTACTAAAGTAATAGAGCCTTTGCCACAAACTCAAATATTCTAATCTCCCTTTCTTTGAAACTTGATTTTGTATTTAAACCGTCGAAAATGTGGTCCGCAGTAATTTTTGGCGAAAAAATAATTCATACATAGCTAGGAGGGTTTATTTATTGACCATCTTTCAACTATTCATCTACAAGTATCTAAATGTTTAAAAATATATTTTTTTAATTAAAAAATAAACTGAAGATATCGAGATATCCTATTACTTGAAAGTTAAAAATCACTGAAATAAATCTGAAATAATTTTATTTAGATTCTGAGACATATTTAAACTTTAAAATACTTTTCAAATACATATAAATAAATATGACTTAATTTTAAGATATTGATTTTTTTTTAAATACTGAAATATTTCTTAAAAGAAGTGATTTATTGAATGCATTTTGATTCAATATAAATAAGGAGGATGCATTTAAGATTTGCATAACCATGAAAATCTTCGGGATGCTGGGTATCAGTTCCCTAGGCTTACTACAACTTTTCCTGGGCATTGTTATCAAAAAAGATTTTAGCGAAAAAAACACAAAAAAGTGTGTCAACGTTGTCAATTATAAAATTGATAATAAAAATGTGCGGCAAAATCGCTATTATATTCATGTTTTAGCAGAGAGCTGTAGATTAACTTATCTTAATTCTCACCCATACTTGTTAGAAAATTAAATCAAATATTCTAATCCATATATCTTTAAGACCATGCGGTGTAAACCTTTAATAATTTAAAGTTAGACTGCTTGATCTTGCAGAATTTATAGTTTGAAATATCTAAGGTCTACCACATTGGGATATTGTACAATAACGAAAAAAAGAGAAAGTATCAATTTATTTATTTAGTTAGAATATTAAACAAATATATATATAACCAGACCTCCCCCACTCCCCAGCCCTAGCTACATCACAGTGAAATCATTTCAATAAGTTGTATATTTCGGAATCCATTTGAGAAGCAGAAGCAATCTGCAATAAAAAGAGGAATCTTGAACAGAAATGTTTTCAACCTTGAACCGTAACATGTTTACGACTAAACCTGGATTAGAAATTGCAAAAATAAACTTTAACCTTAGCTATTTAAAAGTTTGTGAGAAAGGAGAAAGATTATTGAACAATTTTATTTTAAACCTGAAATAAATTAATGCTAAAAGAACTCCGACCCTAAAAATTTGCGAAACAAATAGTGAAAATCCACGAATTGAAAACATTAAACTACAAAAAATGGCACCGTTTCTGTTATTGATAATTAATTTATCTTTGGCAGAAAGTGTACCATTAGAAAGCCAGGGAGGAGAGATAAACAAGTGGGAGGACAAAAGGTTGGATGGTGTGCCGAAGCTCTTTAAATCCTCTGGTTATGACCGCAGTAGGTAAGTATAATTTAAAATCTATATATTTCTCTGAAATAATGAACAAAGAAAAAAAAGAAAAGAAAAGGAAAAGTATTCTTTAAAATTGTGGTAAATTATTTAAGTTGAATCCATAATTCAGGGGACCTTAGTTCGAAAACTAACACTTGGCCCATTTCTAACACACAGTGTTAAAAATGGGCCAGTGTTAGTCTTGATACTAATATCCCCTGTGATTAAATGGTTGGATGATTTTATAATCCAGAATGCCCCACGATGCTGATGGATTGCTCAGGGTTGAAGCAGAACTGAACCTGAGGAATATTATGAGGGTAGATGAGAGGGAGAAGGTAACATAATAAATAAACGATTCTACGGAGTAATTACTTTATTCACAACAGATTGGGGTCTACGTAGTAAAAATACAATGTATTTCCCAAAATCAAGCATTTTTAACTTGCAAGTTTTTAGCTTTTTGTATAATAGTATGAATCTATCTGAAGTAACATGAATCTACAGAATTTTAGACTAAATTCTGAATTAAATCCCGTATAAGAGATAAACATTTTGGTAATAGTAAAATACCGATTTAAAGGAAAACCCCAATTTTAAAATAATTTTAGATGATTTCTTTGGAGGTTACATTAAGGTTATTTTGGGTTGATAAAAGAGTTCATCTAAATCCAGGTAAAATTCAATAGAAATATTATCTCAAAAATTGTTCAATTAAAGTTTTCACAAGATGGAAAAATCAATGAGATTTGAATTTTTTAAGAAGAATCTGATTTTGCCCCATCAAAATAAAACCGAACCCTACATTATCCAGGGTTACTTTATTTCTATTAGAGAATGTACAACATTTTTATTTTTTTAAAGCTTACATTTAACAGGAAAAATTTATACAGAAGCCGTATTTAACGAATTTAAACCTTATCGTTAAACCGCCAATAACCGTTTCCAATTGAGCGCCGGCTTAAATCTCGAAACACTGAATACAATTTCAATTGGAACCAAGCCTGTTTGAGCCGCGGCTTAAATTCCTTAAATTCGGCCACTACTAAAATAAATCCATCGACCCAGAAAAAATCAGCTAGATCAAAGTAAAGGATAAATATTATTAAATTTAAAAGATTTCTTACTATAGACCAAGAACAAGAATACATTTCTTTCTATATTTCACATAATTTATTTCTCAATAATATTTTTACAGCAATTCCTCTTGAAAACTGTGATACGGACGGAAGCTACGTAGTTCTGCATCCTTCAACTGCAGGTTAGTTTAATAATTGATATAATTAATCAGATTCAAAAATACTCTTATTAAGTTTTTTTTTAAGATAGGGCCGGGTGGCATCCTTTTAAAATAAAGTTAAGAAGTGATCTTCAAGGATTTTTTAAAAACCCTATCACTACTTTCTTTGTCATCACAGTAATCAGAACACTATAATATTTAGCAAGATATTCAGCATAGACTTGAGCCTTATAATACATTTATGTACTGCAGTGTTTACTTTCCTTTCGCTTAAAATACATCTATGTACTGCAGTGTTTACTTTCCTAATCCTCTCGCTTAAAATACATCTATGTACAGCAGTGTTTACTTTCCTTTTGCTTATAATACATCTATGTACTTAGGGTTGTTAATCGTTTTTGTAACCGATCGTTAAACGATCGCTAAACGATCGTTTTTTGTTTCGTTTTCAAAAACGATCGTTTCGTTTTCGGAAAAAAAACGATCGTTTTTAAAAACGACCCACTCGTTTTGAACTTTTAGAAAACGAATAGCTGATGTTTTTGAACACGATCGTTTTTATTAAAACGATTTGCGACCGTTTTTTATAGGATTGTTTTAAAAAAACGATCGTTTCTGAAAAAAACTATCGTTTTTGAAAAAAATTTTTATTGACAATTTTGTTAACTATCGTTATTGATATGTTAGATAGTCTTTGGATCCCGACCTTTTATTGATATGTTAGATAGTCTGTGGATCCCGGACCTATTTATTGATATGTTAGATAGTCTGTGGATCCCGGACCTATTTATTGATATGTTAGATAGTCTGTGGATCCCCGACCTATTTTTTGATATGTTAGATAGTCTGTGAATCCCGGACCTATTTATTTATATGTTAGATAGTCTGTGGATCCCGGACCTATTTATTGATATGTTAGATAGTCTGTGGATCCCGGACCTATTTATTTATATGTTAGATAGTTTGTGGATCCCCGACCTATTTATTTATATGTTAGATAGTCTGTGGATCCCGGACCTATTTATTGATATGTTAGATAGTCTGTGGATCCCGGACCTATTTATTGATATGGTAAAAGAGATTAGAACTCCTACTATACGCATTCCAACATCCTCAGTCAGACTGTATAACAACTCTTTAATCAGGTAAATATACATATACTTGTTCGAGTGCCCAGCGTTGCCCAGTTTTATACTATTATTCATTTTATCCCGCGGAGCTTGGTATTAAATCATGATATTAGCTGCAGCAGTGCCCGGAGTTGCCCATGAAATTAATTTTTTTAAAACGTGGATACCCTCAAAAAATGTCGGCAATTTGGTCAAACCTTTTTTTAATGCTTTTATAGTTTCTGATATCAAGTTCATACATTGAAAAAGACGTAATAATATAGATGTTCAGGTTGAACAGTCAGTAAGCCTTCACTTCATAATCAACCCCATTCTTGCCCATTTAGTGGTTCAGCGTCCGCATTTACTGAATTTGAGCCGCGTCTTAAATCCGCCAAAAACCGGTTTCAATTAAGCACCGGCTTAAATCTTGAAACATTGAATACAATTATAAGTGAAGCCAACGATATATGAGAGCCGCAGCTTAAATTTAAGCCGCCGCCCAAATTCTTTAAATTCGGCCTCTGTACGCTTTATTAATGGTTTTAAAAAGGCAAAAACAGTCCTGGTATTCTGGAGCTGGAGCTGGTTGTGTGTGAAGAGATAACTGTTGATAAATCTAGGTTTGCTAAAAGATTTAATTTTGATGTTTCCTGCCAGATGGATTTTCATAAGTATCCTGTAGATAAACAGACTTGTGTTATACACTTCGAATCATTCTCACTTACTGATAAAGAGGTCAGATTTACGTATTCTAATATTCTGATAATATCATTATCTAATTATCTAATAGTTTGCTCAAAAATCATAAATATCAATTATTTATATTAATTATAATTGTGAATAGTTGCAATTTAAATATTCCTTAAAGAATTGTTAATCTTAATAGAATTATCAAGAGCATTTTTAAACCCCCATACTAACGTCGTTCACCTCCTTCTTTAAGATTAAAAAAAAAACCATTTTAATTGTAAAATGAAAATTTTAAAGAGTATGGAAATGTTGTATTTATGGATTGCGATAAACTGTTTAAAATATGTTTAGTTGAAGTTAAGCTGGAGACCTACTGGTAATAATGTAAATAATATAACTCTAGATCAGTTCACCCATAGTGTTAATATTAGGGAGAGGTAAATACTTTAAAAACAGGGGTACCCATAAAGGATGAGACTGTAAAGACGACTTGAAACTGTTCAATCATTACGATCCCAAGTTTAAATTAAACTTCTGTCTTGAATTAGCTTATTAAATGATTTGGTAAAGAAAAAAAATAAGTTTATAGTTGCTTGGAATCATGAATTATAGGAAACAGACATTACAGATTTTGTGCACTCGTCTCTGAAGTCTTATGCTTTGTGGGTAACCCTGTACATCATATTCATACATCAAATTTTCTAATCCCTATATCTTTGTAAATTGATGGTGTAAACTTTTGGTATTTTAATTGACCCAATAGAATTTATAGTGTGTGTTGCAAAGATGTAGGGATTAAAAAAATCCGAGTTTATTGGAAAAACTACAATTCCTTTTTTTGGTTTTTTAACATTTTAATACGGGGAATGTGAACTTGGCGGACTCAAACAAGATGAATCCTACTTTAAACACTTTAACCTTATTTTGTTTTAAACCGGTTTTTCATAAATTTGATTCCATATATACACATATACATATATATATATATACACATATAGAGTTAAACAAAGAGAGATCTATTTTTAATAGTGTTGCGATATAATTTGATCCCATATATACACATATAGAGTTGAACAAAGAGAGATCTATTTTTAATAGTATTGCGATATAATTTAAGCTTAAAATTGTGCAAGACAACAATACAATTCTTTTAAAACTTTTCAGAATATTTAGAAAGTTAAACATAAGCTACATTAATGCCGTGTAACTGAGTATTTCAAATATTAATTCCTTATAAAAACTATAAACTGTTTTTAGCTACACAACAAATTCATATCGGCAGAAGTTTGCTGGTCTTCAGTTTACATTATACCTCAGGAGGAATATATATTATCATCTAGGTATTTTTTATATTTTAAATATATTATTTCATATTTTTTAGATATTTTCAAGATGTTGAAAGGTTATTAACTTCTATATGTACAAAAGCAATTACAAATACAATCATAAGTTTAGCATAAGCAGTACCAAGTTATCAGTATCGTGTGAACGCAAAATACTGCAATAATATTGTTCTGTTTACATATTTATTGTACTTGTTGTACAGTACAGACGTATATCCCGAGTTTACTGCTTGTACTACTCAGCTGGGGATCAATGTTTGTACATAGTTCTGCTCCTGCTAGGGTTGGAATAGGGATGACAGCTCTTCTTTCCCTTATTTGTAAGTTTTTTTATAATCTTTATAAAAACATAAACATTAAAGTAAACATGAAATAATATAAAGATTCAAACATGCAGTCATTTTTTTCTGTACCGGAGAAATTCATCAGAATTCTTGAAAATTTTCATTCTTAAATAGGAAGAATGATTATTTATTATGATATAATAAAACTTCTAATGCTGAGCTCTCAGAGCAGAGAATTCCACAAGTTTTTTTTGCGCAATTTAATGTTGCAAATACAACACTTTTATGCTTTTCGCATCTTTTCGAATTTTTTCCCGAAAGTTTTCTTTCGCTCTAACCCTAATGCTGAACTGCAAAATGCGGGCCATTAACATATTTTGATACGTTTTTCTGTTTGAACCGTGATTTGCCTTTTTTTGATGATAACGATCGAGCTTTTGTAGAGTCTTTGGGGTATAGTAAAACACTAATCTTTAACTTTAAGTCAGAATTTAAAAATATTTTTGCCTTTCCACTTTTTTATTTTAGTTTCTTTTGTTGTTGCAAAACTCTTGCTAGCTCATTGACAATTTTTCATTATATTCGAAAATACATGAGGTGGGATCGATGAAACAATTTTCTTTAAAATGCCATTGAAATCTTCCAAAGATTAAAAAAAAAAATTATTATAATTTCATTTTTACGCTTTATTCAACAGATTAGAATAAACTGCGTATTTTTAATGATAGCGTTAAGGATTTTTCGAAAAAAATGACATAAAAGGATGATAATCTTAGGACTGATTACATTTCGAGTACATTTTGAATGTTAAAACGGCAATTTTGATCAAAACGTTGCAACGACGACGCCCCCCCCCCCCCCAATTTGTGGGCATTGTGCCTATTTGTAGGAATTTTCAGTACAATAAAACCACGTTTAGTGGGGGAAAAAGCTATCATTTTTTTCGGAATTTTAGAATATTTTAGGACCAATTTTGAATGTTAAATCGGCATTTTAGAGAAAAATGTTCATCGACGACCCCCTTCAAGCCATTTTTAACACAATACAACAATGTTTAGTGCGCTAAAGTCTAAACACACTTTTTTAGAGACACCCAGTATACCTATGAAAATGGCCAATTAACTGTGCTTTAACGTGACATTTTAACAATATATTGATTTAGCAATGTTTGGGCATACAAGGAGTATGGTTCCCCACACATGTTATGTATCCTACCTGGACGGATGGATGCTCTTCTGTATAGTCCTTGTCTTCCTTTGCATCATGGAGTACATCATTAATCTTTGTATTCTAGCAACATATTATACTAGGATAGCAGATAGAGTTAGCTGGTGGACTAGGGTATGAATGATGTCTTTAATACTAGAGAATACCACCATAATTTGGAGAATAACTCTTAACATTAGTTCCGATTTATAGATCAGCAACTTAAGAATTTGAGTCTTATTATAATGAAACCAACTTTCGGGGTTTTAGTGGCAAAAATTTAAAAACATTTTGAGTACAACTTGTTCAAAACTGTCCCATTTCCATTTTCTGGGTTTTGGGGAATTTTGTCAAAGTTTCAAAAGTAATTTGCTTGTTTCGATTTAGACTCAAGTTCGACTGAATCTTAGGAAATTTTTTTTTCAACATATCTAATATGGATTGAGTTTTCACGATTGATTTTGTGACCTTTGAAAACAGATACATCAAATCTTCTTAAATATCTTTCAACTTTTAACTTTAAAACTTTTAATATTGTGAATCCAGTATCAGATACGATTTGTAAGCTTAATATTATTAATTTGTTTAGTGTGTTGGTGCTCCAGTAATCCTTGTAGTTTTCAACCTGGTGTACTGGCTTCTGCTTATAGAACATCATTTAACAGAACATCATGTTGAACAAACCTTTCAAAGACACACTCCTGTTAACTGTACAGTAGATTAGACTGTACAGTAAATTAGACTGTACAGTAGGTTAGACTGTACAGTAAATTAGACTGTACAGTAGGTTAGACTGTACAGTAGGTTAGACTGTACAGTAAATTAGACTGTACAGTAGGTTAGACTGTACAGTAAATTAGACTGTACAGTAGGTTAGACTGTACAGTAAATGTTTTTAACAAAAGCCCACTTATTATGACATAGTTATAGATTTGTATGTTTTTGTTATCGTTTACTGATAAATTCAAATGTAATAAAGTAATATTATCAATTCATTCATTTATTTCTGCAATGTTGTCAACATTAATTAACTGCTTGGGTTCATACATCAATTCTCAGATTTTGCCATAAATCTATTTTATCTTAAAAAGTAAAAGTCATATTTCAATGAGAGTGTAAAGATGAAGTTTTGTATATCTTAGGTTAGCCTAGCGTGTCATTGCTGACTTCCCATTGACCAGAATACAATGAATGTAAAGATTGATTTATTGTATTCTTGTAATACATATTCTGTCTGTTCCGTGCATTGTATTAATTAGAACAACAGGGGAACTTTATCCTCGCTGATAAAAGTTGACAGTACAGAATATTGTACACTGTACAGTTTCAGCTGAATCAAATAATCGTACTGCTGAATATGCAAGTACGAATCCCTGGTTATAAAGTATAAAGTGTGAATATAGGTTTTATATCCCGGCCATGTATTTACTAATCCTCATACTTCATTAGGCAGCACTAATGGTCCAATATAATATATTGCACTTACACCCCAATGTATATATATACATATATATATTTATATACTTTGTTTTGTACTCAATAAACGTCAAAGCGGCTAAACCGATCGGGCCCAATTTTTTGCGGCAACTTACAAGACCCCTGGATAATGTTGTTAATGTGGAAGGCTAATTTAATTAAAATGTTGCCCGACAACAAATAACTGCATTGATATTTTTGAAAATGCGAAAAATTTTAACAGAAAATCCTCGAAAACGATTTACAAAAAAATGACAGCTTGAAAGGCAACGACTAACAGCTAAAATTTTTACTAGAAAAGCGGTGCGAAGTGCCCTGTAAGCCTAGTATCTTCTATGTTTGTCCATACAATGCCTCTTAAATATCTGCACCATCATTGCACTCATCTATATAGTAACGCTCTGTGCTCATATTTATACATTACTAGCTATAAAAAAAATTATAAAAGAGAAATTTCTATCCCATGAGTTTCCACAAAAAAATTCAGCCCAATTGGTCCAGCCGTTTGGCCGTTTAAACGCAACATATATATGAATGTCCTGGCTGGCCAAGCGGCTCGACCAAAGAACCCACAATTGAAAATTAAAAATAAATAAAATCTTGAATATCTTTTTTTTCTTTAAGGGAGTGTTCGCGAAAAATGAAAGGGGGTAAAAGCTTACGGCGAAAAATAATCACTTTTGATTGCTACTAATCTTACTTCTATCTGTTACGTCTATAAGGAGAAAATGGTTAAAAACCACCCATACCAAAGAACGTAGCGTCCATACAAATTCAAAAAGATTTTTTTCATTCTTTATATGACAATATTTTATGGGAACCGTTGTTAATCGGGACACTTGAAATAACATCTTCAGTCCCTTTATATTTTCTAATTAAATAAACTTTACTTTCCTTAAAACTTTGCTGCTGGAAGATGATTGTTTCACGTTGATGGAATATTGATTGTGCAGGAAAGTTTTCATCTGAAGACTGATTATGTTGTTGATATTTTAGAAATCCTGGTAAACAACCTAGCTAGTCGGTTCAGGAGGATTCAGCTGGCAGGGAACAGTCTGGTTGGTTCAGGAGGTTTCAGCTGGTAGTGAAAAGTCTGGTTAGTTCAGGAGGTTTCAGCTGTTAGTAAACAGTCTGGTAGGTTCAGGAGGTTTCAGCTGTTAGTAAACAGTCTGGTAGATTCTGGAGGTTTCAGCTGTTAGTAAACAGTCTGGTAGGTTCTAGAGGTTTCAGCTGTTAGTAAACAGTCTGGTTGGTTCAGGAGGTTTCAGCTTTTCGTAAACAGTTTGGTTGGTTAAAGAGGTTTCAGCTGTTAGTAAACAGTCTGGTAGGTTCTGGAGGTTTCAGCTGTTAGTAAACAGTCTGGTAGGTTCTGAAGGTTTCAGCTGTTAGTAAACAGTCTGGTAGGCTCTGAAGGTTTCAGCTGCTAAATTCTGTCTGGTCGGTTCTGGAGGTTTCAGCTGGTAGTAAACAGTCTGGTTGGTTAAGGAGGTTTCAGCTGTTAAATTCTGTCTGGTCGCCAGGGGTCTATTGGTAAATGTAAGTCCAAAAAACATGAAACGCATACAATGTACAGGTTTACACAGACCAATTTCATTTAATAAGTTTATTTTTAATCAACTGTTGAAATTATTTACTATATAACAACATAAAAAGCACAAATGATTGCATAAATATCGTCTCAATATTTCTAAGTTTTATGGGTCTACTACAGGAACTACAGGAACTACAGGAAACTACAGGAACAACAGGAACTACAGGAACTACAGGAACTACAGGAACTGCAGGAACTACAGGAACAACAGGAAATACAGGAACTACAGGAACTACAGGAACTACATGAACTACAGGAATTACAGGAACTACAGGGACTACAGGAACTGCAGGAACTACAGGAACTACAGGAACTACAAGATAAAGAGGAACTACAGGAGCTAGAGGAACTACAGAAACTAGAGGAACGACAGGAACAAAAGAAACTATAGAAAATACAGGAACTATAGGAACTACAGGAATTACAGGAACTACAGGAACTACAGGAACTACAGGAACTACAGGAACTATAGGAATTATAGGAATTATAGGAACTAAATGATAGAGAGGAACTACAAGAACTACAGGAAATACAGAAACTCCAGGAACTACAAGATAAAGAGGAACTACAGGAACTACAGGAACTACAGGAACTACAGGAATTACAGGCACTACAGGAACTATAGGAATTATAGGAACTACAAGATAAAGAGGAACTACAGGAACTAGAGGAACTACAGGAACTACAGGTACTAGAGGAACTACAGGAACTAAAGGAACTACAGGAAATACAGGAACTACAGGAATTATAGGAACTACAGGATAGAGAGGAACTACAAGAACTACAGGAAATACAGAAACTTCAGGAACTACATTAACTACAGGAACTACAAGATAAAGAAGAAATACAGGAACTACATGAACTACAGGAACTACAAGATAAAGTGGAACTTCAGGAACTACATGAACTACAGGAACTACAAGAAATACAGGAACTACAGCAAATATAGGAAATACAAGAACTACATGAAAAGCGGGAAGAATAGGAATTGAAGAAGTAGAAGAAGTAGCAAAAGAACAGGAAGTGCAGGAAGTAAAAGATAAATTATTATAAACTGAGTTTTGTTTCCTGTGAAGTGATGTGAAGGCAGGCGTTTCCTTTATAAAGCAGGGAAATTAAATATAAGTTTACAATCATAATATACTTTAAACCTGGACATAAAATTGTTTACAACAGTATTTCAATTTTATACGTACATGAAGGTCGAGAGGGCAGCCTTGAGATCTTTTAAAGAGACTGACGTTGAAATTTCAAGTGATCCACCTCCTTTTAAAGAGAGGAATTTTTAAAGCTTACGATATTTTCATTCTTAAAAAGCTTGAAAGGTGTTCAATTTTGTCAACATTATACTCTGTTCCTGGGGCAGAATTCCACAAGGTAAACTTTAAGACAAAAACAACAGAAAAGGTATTTTAAAAAGAAAATTATGGATATCGCATTTATATCAGACAAAGATCTTAGAAGTGTTTGGTGTTGAGCGGACATTTCATGAGAAATACGAAACATTTTTTTGGCGAATTTGATTTTTTTGGCAAGAATATTCTTCAGCCAATGCAAAACGAGCCATTAGAAATTCTACATAATGTCTTTTTTGCTTCGGCTACACCTCTGTTGCGAACTTGTTTAACCTAAAATTAATTTTTTTTAGCGATATTGCAATTTGCAATTGGCTTAATGTACATTTCTTGGTGCAACTATGGGTTTTATTATTGTTAATTCTATAAAATTTATCTTTAAATAAAAATAAGTCGTGACTTCTATCTACTAAAGCTTGGTCAACATTTAACCTTTTATTTATGTACCGGAATTTCAAGAAAATTTGCTAAAACTTTTATAATAATAAACATCATTAAACTAGAATCAAAAATATTTTTGACGGGATTTCAACTAACCCTCCGGCCTTTATTTGTAAATTGGCATCTCTAATTCACAAGAGTACCTTATAATTCTTTTTCACAACAATTTGTGAGATATACTTAATTTTTTACGACTCAAAACTAGGTTTTATACATTGTGGTAAAAAAGTGACTATGCTGCAGAAATTATGGAGGAAAATTCAGGTGCGGATCCAGGGGGGGGGGGTCAAGGGGTCGACGACCCCATTTTTGAAAAAGGGGGGATAAAACAAATTAGTTTGATCCCCCTTCTTTTGGAGACTAACCGAAAAGTTTACTGTAACTTGTTTTCCAGCAGATACAAAGCTAATTTTTTGGTCAAATCAGCCTATTCTCTGGGGAAAGGGAGGATATTTTTTGCCAGATAGATTTAATTGGTTGAAACAACCCCTGTAAGTAATAGAATATGTTTCCTATCTTTAGAATTAAGTTTATTATAACATTGAAGCATATTTAAGTTTTTAGTCACAAAAACAAAACCATATTACTATTATTTGATATAAATTATTTTTTCCTTAGCTGAGATGTCCTCGAGCGACCAAATTACCTTGCTATCCTTTCCTTCTATAATATATCTATAGTTTTCTTGTCTCAGATGACAGAATGAAAAATTTCAAAGTAAAATTCTAAAGCAATAATTTTACATATTTTAGGAGTAATTTTCTATTTTCAGCACTTAAAATGCTCATTTAAATTTTGTTACCCCCCTCCTCGCTCACAAGTTTCGCTCGGTCTAGTCCCACTAAATCACAGTTTTATTGAAAGGAATTAAACACGTTTGAAGATTAAAAAAATGATCCTTTTCAGTATTGTTCAAATAGAACGAGAGGCAGGCGCGTGTGGAGGTTTAGCCTAGGGGGGTGCACTTAAAAAAAAATGTCGTGCACCCCCCAACGGATGATGTGCACCCCCTAAAAAACCGGTGTTAAGAAAAAAAAAAAGTTTAAAATCTATATTAATCTACCTAAAGGCTGACTATTAGTCATCTGACCATGAATACCAATCATTTTAAATGAAACCCCGCGAAAAAAAATATTGTAAATAAGATTAAGCTACCAGAAAGAATTTGAGAAATAATCATAAAATGGACAAATTGTGACATTGTCGATTGATAAGAAAAGTAAAAAATCTGAATATATATGAAAGCTTACTGTTTAATAAATTAGAGCCTGCCTCTGGCTCTAAGGGAGGGGGGGGGGCACATGGGTTTCGGCCCCGCCCCTCCACTACGTGCCTGTCGAGAGAATCACTTGTTTTATGAGGGAAGGGAGGGGTTGGAGGGAAGGATTGATATTCCAGGAAATTTAGAAAAAAGTTTTTTGAGTAACCGAAAAAAAATCCTGAAATGTTTATAGTTAAACCTTAAATCACATCCTAAGCCAGAAATGTAAAGTTTCTCTTTTGCTCCTCGTTTTTATTTAAGGGAATTGAGTCTTTGCCACAACCTTTCTAATCCCTATGTCTTTGCAACCTTTGATATTTCAAACTAAGATTATTGGATCTAACATAATTTATAGTTTGAATTCAAAACATTTTGTTCTGCTCAATATTTCTTAGAATAGAGGAGTCATGATTAAAAACACATTTCAATCTTGCGTGCCATTCACTTTAGTTTAACGTGCTGAAGCACGTTTCAGGTCAGGTGTGGTATAAATACTTAATACTAGGCTTTTTAAAGGATTCACAAGAATCATGGAGATGCAAATTCTATTTTAAAATTGCGTTCTAGACAAGTATGCTATTATCACACAAAGCAAAATTTTTATGGTGATTAAATGTATTGACCAAAACAATTTTTCAAAACGAAAAACGATTTTCTTAATTGTTTTGAATAAGCATTTTGATCTTTAAATCAGAGTAAAATATTGCTGTGTGCAATAAAAGCAAACATGTCTAGCATGCAATTTTAAAATAGGATTTGCATCTTAGATTCTGATGAAAACTTCATAAAGCCTAAAGCCTAAGAAATGGGCCTCAAAACAATGCCCTTTAGTAGGTATAAAACACATTTATGATAATTATAAATATACTTGAGACCTGTCAGATTTTAAAGTGTCTTTAGTACTTAGTCCATTCTTTGACCTGCCAACACATACTTTTGTGTGCCCCAGGATGTGAAGATTTTAAAACCACAAACTTCAGATTTGAATGGCGTGGTTTGCAAAATTCTCAGAGATATATTCTCCGTGAATATTTAAGTTCTCAGTTGAGTTGAGGGGAATATGACTGGAGCTAGTTAAATATAATTCTCAATCTGGGTTGGAGTTTCCTTCTGTTAGGATGACAAAGATTCCTCACTAACTTGAAAACTGGTTCTTTTATAGAATTCAACCAGGCGTAGATATGGATTGTAAATGTCAAAAAAAAATATTTTCTGGGAACCACCATGTATCTGATGCGTCAAATCTGATGTATCTAATCTGTGTACTGCAATGGGAAGAAATAAAAAAAATTACAGCTTGTTAATTTGCAGAAGCACTGAATTTGATAACATTGCTCCCATGGAGCACTAGAATCTTCCTAGAAGGAGTTGATTCATTTTGTGTACTGACAATGGTAAGAAACAAAAAAAATTACAGCTTGTAAATTTGCAGGAGCACTGAATTTGATAACACTGCTCCCAGAGCACTAGAATCTTCCTAGAAGGAACTGATTCATTTTGTGTACTGTCCTGGTTTGTCTCATTTAATCGGTATGTGTATATGTATTGTATGTATGTGTATTTATTGTACAGCTTGTACTAGTCGATTAAAAGCTGGCCCGGTACTTGAATAAACTGGAGTTTACATTGCGAGAGTTCTGTACACATTTAGCGTACATTAGAGATGAGGGTTCCTCGTGAAGTTTCTTGGTTAACAGAACGGGATTAACGATGTCTTGGGAAAATATTTAATTTTTTGAAAATTATTTTATTGTTTTAAAAAATTTCAGAAAAATTCATAAAAAATTTAATGAGAAAAAACTCAAAAAATCCGCAAAAATTTAGAGTGGAAATCTGGAGTGAATGTTGCCAAATTATAACCTTAGAACTGTTTTGACTTGAAAATTGCAAACAATTGGCTTACAATTTTGTTATATCTCATCAAATTTTTCATGAACTTTATGTTATTTTGGAAAACAAGCGAATACAAATTTTACCAATTAAAAAAAAATATTAATTTGGTATCGCGAAGTTTTTTTCGACGTTCCAAAAATATTTTTGAATTTATTTTGTCACATTTTATTTCTTATGCCTAAAATCCGAACAAAACAAACATTTTCAAAAACCCAGTTTTTTATTCACCCTGTATATATTAAACCCTAAACCACTGCATTGACGTCTCGGTATTTATTGGTGAAAATTCAGAGAAAATCTCGATCAGAAAAATTCTAATTCCATTTCAATATATACAAATAAATAAGTGGAGCTTCTAAGTTCAAATGTTCAGTAAAAGTATGGAGTTGAACAATAAAGCTTAATTCAAAAGTTTTCAGCTCAGGCCTAATCAAATCTTCCTTATTTCTAGAAGAGAATCAGTTGAAAAGTTTCTTTTTTATTCCTGAAATTCGTGAGGATGAAAGTTACAGTAAAAACTTGCCAAATTAGAAAGTTTTGGGAAAATTCAAGGAACGTTTAGAAGTTACTCAGAGGGTGTCTATTGTATTTACTACTAAGAATTAACAGTGCTACGCGCTACCTCTAATTATCATTACTGATTAAATTAAACATGTACATTGTACATTTTATAAATGTTTTTTTAAATGGTTGTATTTTCATTTTTTGCTTCATTCTTGTTAATGGATTAATTAGATTAGTCTATGTAACATTTAAGAATGGAAAAAATACATAAATTCATGAAAAAAGTTTAGCTAATTACTACAAAATTTTTATATCAATTATCTATAAAAATGTTGAAAATATTTAGATCAATGTTTACGAGAATCTTTATCTCACAGTTCTCTTTAACCAATCAGAAGCGAACATATTTATTTCTTTCAATCTTTTGGTTCCCCTTGACTCAGTTTTTAAACCTAAAAAGATTTTTGAAAGGATTTCGCCTATCTTTTGGTTCCCCTGTGATCATATTTTTTACCTTGATATTTGAAAGATTTCAACAATTTTTTGGGGTTTTCTAGGATCATATTTTCTCCAGTCGTCGTCGTAAATATCAATACAACGTTCTATTTCAATTTTGATTTCTATTCATCCTTTAAACACATCAATTCAGATAAACAAAGAGAATTTATCCATTAACAGCTTCTCTTTGTTTACTTGTAATTAGGGTTGTTAATCGTTCTTAAAAACGATTGAAAAGATCGAAAAAACATTCATTTTCCGTTCCGTTATAATTTTTTTCTAAAGACGATCGGGTTTTTTAGAAAAACACTATCGCTAATGAATCTGCGTTTTATGACAGTTAATTTTAAAAAAATTTCTGGAAAATGAGATTATGAATGTTGCTACAAACGATATTTTTTAAAAAGCATTTGTTTCGTTATTTGTTTTTTTTCGTCGTTTTTAAAACGAAACGATCGTTTTTTAAAAATTGGAAACGATCCATCACTACTTTTAATTTGAAAAATACTTTTAAGGGATTAAAGCTTTATTAACGATAAGTTCTTGTATTGATATAATCGCCGACAACTGTACCTAAATATTCAAAAGGATTTCGACGATCTTTAGGTTTTCCTGAGATCATATTTTATACCTTGATATTTGAAAGGATTAAAGGATGTATAGAAGAGAATAACAATCCTTGCAAAATAATAAAAAGCTGGAATATTTCTACAAAACTGAACTTAATATAAAGTAAAATAAAATGCAAACACATAAAATTTATCTTAAATAGAAACCAATAAGATAAGAAAATCTATTCTATATATTCTATCTATTCTATCTATTTTATCTATTCTATCTATTTTATCTATTCTAACTATTCTATTTATTCTATCTATTCTATCTATTCTATCTATTCTATATATCTATCTATTCTATCTATTCTATCTATTCTATCTATTCTATCTATTCTATCTATTCTATCTATTCTATCTATTCTATCTATTCTATCTATTCTATCTATTCTATATATTCTATCTATTCTATATATCTATATATTCTATCTATTCTATCTATTCTATCTATTCTATCTATTCTATATATTCTATATATTCTATCTATTCCATATATTCTATCTATTCTATCTATTCTATATATTCTATCTATTCTATCTATTCTTTATATTCTCTCAATTTTATGCTATCTCAATCTATTTTTATCATTTTCTTTCTTACAAACAGAAGATGAACAAACAGGATTAAGTTTAAATACAGCGGCCGTCGTTTTTATCAATACGATGAAGACGACTTTCGATACCAGTTTGATTCTACCAAACTTTCAAACACATAAACATGGAAACGATTTACAGCAATTCTTTGTTTACTTGTTTATTGAATTTGAAAAAAGCTTGTATTAATACAGGGTGTCCCACATCATATAAGACCGAGAACGGGTCTAAAATTACGATTTTCGGGACTAATTAGAAAATTTCATTTGAATGAATCATTTTGAAAAATAACAAAAGGCTTATATAAGAATTTTCTTGCGGAAAATGATAAGTTTTTCGAGTATTAAGGGTTTATTTTGGTGTTAAAGATTGGAGATAATCTAATATGATATGGGACGCTCTGTATATAAATTTAAAAGAAAAGTCGTCTTCACTGTATCGATATAAACGCCGACCATTGTAATAAATATTAGCGCGTGCGGGGTTTATCTGTTATCTTGTCTAATTGTTCATTATTACACTGTCAGGGGTGTACGGAATGTTATATTTCATAAAAAGTGTATCAGAGGCGAAATTTATTTTGAATAAAATCCTTTAATTTAAATTCCACTGAACAAAATTATGCCAATTTTCAACAAATTCTTGTGTTTTTTTTACCTAAATATTCCCCTGTTCTATCTGTATAGTTTTGGGGTAGCAATCCTCCCTTGAGGAAGCTAGGGGGGGGGAGTTACCGCCTAATTGCCCCCCTTGTTGCGCCTCTGAAGATGGTTTGTATAACAGGAAGATGGAAGGGTGTTAAAATGTAAAAAGATACGTGAATAAAAATTTTGATTTCATAAATGAATTTTAATATAAAAACCTGCTCGCTTACTTTAAACTACTAGACTGATAAACCCCTGATGTTTATTTAATGTCAAGTAATTTCACTTATCTTGACATATAACATGTCAAGCTTGGAGGGAGTATGTTTAAGCAATCATTTATTAACCGTTTAGTTGTAGTTAATGTACACGGAATAATACAGGTATATATAGTAGGCAACAACATATAGTAATTAATAATAATCGTAATAATAATAATACTTTTTCTTTTAATTAAAAATGCCTCTGCCCTCTTTGGACTTTTATTATTGCTAATTTATCACTAGATCTAATAATGTTTAGAACAATTTTTTTTAAATGGCCAATCATAAAATACTGTTTTTTTTAAAGAAAGAGGAAAAATACGTCTGCTTCAATTTAAAATAGTAAAAGTGTTCAAAATGTCAAATCATTACAATTACTTAATTTTTCAGGATAAATAATAACAATAATAATAATAATAATGTTAGTAAAAAATTAATAATATATGTATAATGTATAATGTATTTCAATGGAAACATTAAGTTAAAGTTTACATAGTTTTGATATAAAATATAATATAACCAATACAAAAAATTGTGACTTTTTTCCTTTTTGTTCAATAACGCCATGAATAAAATTTCATTTGAAAATCTTATTGCTAATTTACCACTAGCTCTAAAAATGTCTAAGACAAACATTTTTTAATGGCCAATTGTAAAATACAGCTTTTTGAAGGAAAAATGCCTCCACTTTTATTGGCTTTGACTTAAAAAAAAATTGTTTAAAATGTCAAATCAAAATTAATAAATTAATTTTGTAGAAATAAAGATGGATTCCGATGAATCTCCTTCAAAAAGTCAGCTGAAATCAGGTCTTAGGTAAACTGGTTTTAATGCCAATACAAAAAATAGAGATTGATTAATTGATCGATTTTTTTCAGCGGAAGCAGAAGCTACACAAAGGAAGAGAAACGAAAGAATGCACAGAAAAAGATTCGTGCAAAAGCAGCGCAGGGATTTAGTACATCAGGCGTAGAGCTTTAACTTTAATTTACATGTCTTAGAGGGAGTGTCAACAAATTACAAAAGTGCCTTGTAAACAAGAAATTTAATACGCTTTCCGCGCAGTTTTAGACTTTGGATCATACCCCGGGCATAAACAAAATACTTAACCTACAATTAACCTAACTTAACCTTTTTAAAGACATTTCATAGTTTTAATCGGAAACCCATTTTTACAAAATTTAAATTAAATAGGGCTGTTTTTTCGGTTTTTCTTCACTAAGCAATTAAGAATAAAGATCAGATGCTGTTTTAAGTGAGATCACGGTGGACTAGGGTCAATTTGAATTCAAACCAGACCAACTCATTGTTCTAGCCTTGGTGACCCACGGCAAGTACCAGCCTGACTCTATCCTCTACCGACTCAGTTTCAACTTGAATGAAGCGGCCAGACTTTTTACCGTTTGCGGCCTTTTTGACCTATCCCACTAGCTTTGTTTGTTGTGAAATGTTGGCTTCTATACTTGCTGTAAATGTACAAATTACTATGCAGGCAAACCTAACAATGTTAGGACAGTATCCTCCAGACTGGAGCTGGGTCCACGAGGTGCTCAGCAATATCACACAACAGGAATACTGGGGCAGACATCTTTAATTTCACACTTCCAAAACGTCTATATTCTACAATCTTAAAACTTAGATATTAGATGAATAAAGTTTTATTTCCCTTTTTAAAGGGAGTGTTTGCTATAAATGAAAAGGTTCATAGGATGGACCTGTTTTTTATGCAACAGTGTCAATCCAGCCTTCCATTTTATAGGATCTGTAAAAGCAGGCTTATACTAATCAATTTCAAACTTAAATGTTGAGCATAGATTTTTTTTATTCTTAACACTCCCTTTAAGGCATACGACCTGAACTTTCAAGTGTTTAACAGATTTCCAAAGTTCCATTCTTAAAGTCCATTCCTAAGTTGTCAAAATTAAATTCTTGGTGAAGGATTTCAGAGTCGGGAATTTATAACAAGTGAGCAGTAGTTGAACTGTCACCAGCTTAATTTTACTTCTCTTGTCTTGTGTCGCCAGGATCCAATTGAACCAAATCTCAGGCTCAAGTGGATCCTGCTGGTTCATGATGAGAAGTTAAACCAACTGTGGCTAGTTCGAACTCTTCATAAATTCAGTCCAAAAAGCACTTAACATTTTTTAACTTTCATAATTTATTTTGATTAAATTTTACAATATTTCAAAGTTTCAATATTCTATCAAAAAGCACTTAAAATAATCTGGTCTTAGTTCCCTGCAGAGCTGATAAAAACAGGTTCGCCAAACTACCTTTGCTCTGCTCTTCCATCCCACTGGAGATCCAACAAGTCGTTACCAATCACGTTCCGGGTTGTTGCTCTCAGCCATATAGAAGATGGGACCCTTGTTTCCCTTGCAACGGGGAATGATGATAATTATGGATCTGAATTAAGAAATAACACTGCAACTATGAAGGAATTGAATGAAATTTTACTGACCATAACATTTTTTTTTCTTTTCTTAAGAACTATTGATACATTGTGGTGAATCTTTTTTTATGGGGAGTAATAAGACTTTCCAAGTATGGCAATTGTAACAATAGTTTTTTTAAAGTTTACTTCTGATTGCAAACTTAACATTTCATTTAATAGGATAATATTGCCACCTTCAGTGATCTGAGGTTTGTTGGAAGATCAGGGCGAGGAAAGCATTTTAACCTTACCATCACCATAAACACTTGCCCTACTGAAGTAGCTGTGTATCCAAGCTGTATCAAGGTTACTGTAGATGGTCCAAGAGAACCTAGAAATAAATCCAAATTTCAATTCTATAACTCCATGGAGGAGTTTGGCCAATGCGAGGGGGAACGTCAAGATGACAGCAGTAGTCCGATCAGTGACTGCTTGACACCCACAGTTCTTAGTGAAGAATCACACAGTCCTCTTTCTTTTCAGATCCAGCCGTCATATCTGGCCCCATATTCACAAGACTATGATCACTATCCAACACTGGCTATGCTGTATCCAAAGATTCCAGCTTTAAGCTATTCTCCTATTCAATATCCCATCACATCTGATTATAGTGGGGATCATTATCAATCATCTGTTGAGGATACAACATTTGCAGAAGCATTTTCAGCACTGAGCAGTTACATTCCTGGATCTTATCCAGATACAGCCCGTGCAAGCACATCTGAGATGTACCATAATGGTAATCTTGTATCTTCTACTGAAGAGCATAGAGAATTTGAGGCTCTGCAGCCAGTAGGCTTGTATGAAAGTGTAAAACATAACAATATCACAAATGAGTTCCATGAAATGCATAATGGTGGGTTTTCTGATTTCTACTACCCTCCAGATTCTCATGTTAATCTCTGCAGTACAACGGATACTCTCAGCCAGGCAGAGTCTATTCTTGAAATCCCAAGTCATGTGGTTACAACAAATGACATGGACACCAGCAATATGGAGACTGAAATAAATGTTGGAGCTGGGCCTAACTTTCAGGCAGTTTCAGACGTTTTCTTTGATAATAATGAAGACTATCACAATTTACAAAGCATGAGTTTAACAAAGCAGGAAAATTTGTGGCGTCCGTATTGACCTTCTTTTATTGCATTTGGAAATAAAATTACTTTTAATTGCTTCATTAATTTATGAGTTTATAGCTTTCGCTATTTTGGGGAGAGGGGGATTGAGGGTTCTTTAATTTTTTGGCTCCACCCCCCCCCCACATTATTCTTCCCAGAGGGGATGATTTATGGAAACCCTTGTTTCAAAAGAGTGAGATGATGGGATGGATGATATATATATAGAGGTTACCCCTGTTGCAACTTCTATCATGGTTTTGATTCTTCACCAAGCACAGGACTGGACCCTGATTGGATCAGCCGGAAAGATGAAAAAGGGTTGGTGTATGTCCCGTTTTACTGTCTATGTACTGTATACTGTACACAACTAGCTGCCTAAAAGTCGGACATGTACTTCAAATAAAACAAAGTTTTCAGTGACACCCACCCACGCCTAGCAAAAAAATAATTCAGACAATATAAGATATGGTAAAAGGCAGGGGGGGGGGAGTACGCCCCTGATTGTATATAAATTGCATTTCTCTCTCAATGTTACGTAAATGAACTAGAACCTAGTTGTATTAGAAAATTGTGTTCTAGGAAGTGTAACATTGATATTTAGAAAATATATTGGATCAATATATTTCAGGGCAAAGCATAAAATCAGAATATGCAGATTGAAGAAGGGTGGAATACACTGGGGGGGGGGGGGTTCAAGGGTTTGTACAAAAATCGTTTATCCTTCATTTGGTGAGAGTAACAAATATGGCAATTATGTAATATATGCAAATCATGGAAATGTAAAATTTGTATGATTTTATGCAGTAAACAAGTAAAAAAAAAAACCGTGTTTGTCAAGCATGCAGATTATGCAACATTATAGCAATAATGGGCCTGTTTAGTGTTTAAGCTGCACAATTGTTGTGTCTCATGCTCATTAGACTTTAATTAGCGTTACTTAAAACTTGATTCTTCAAATTGTCTTCCTATTTCAGAGGTTTCTGGTTCTCCCTGTACAATCCATAAACATACCCCTTTAAATGCAAGAGGTTTGGTTTCCAATAAAATTATTATTTAAGAGAAAATTCTAAGGAAAAATAGCTTAATGAATGAAATTTTTTATGCATAAAAGACTATCAATCCGTAAATCACAGAACTAAATACAAATGCAACTTTTTTATTGTGTTTTTGGTGTTTAGCTTATAATTTCTTTCCTTACATTTTAGAAAAGTGCATTTATATATTTGCAGTGAAGAAACGGTGAATGCAAACTGCACATTTCTAATTTGTATTCTGCATTTTCTATCTCAACTTTTCCAAAATATATAACTTTAAGACTATAACAGGACAATGTAAATATTGTTTTTTAAATTAATTCATAAATTTCGTCAAATCATTTTTCTATATAATTATTTTTTTCTGCGATTTTTTATATTTATTATTTCTAGCTTCTTCAATTTAAATCAATTTTACAACTTAATTATAAAAATATGGGGGATCCCCCCCCCCCCAACTGGTTACCCTACAAAGACTGTGGCTTTAATGACGACCTAAAACTCATTAGAAGGTTAACCCATCAGTTTATTTAAGATAAACTGAACTAAAATCTGTACAGTTGTCTCTCTGAAGTATCATCCTTCATGGTTGCCCCTTTAAAGTGCACATGAACTATGCTATTCAATCTATCTATATACTTTCGTAAAATATTGAAAATCCACGAGCTTTTTGTTTTTGTTTTATAATGTATACATAGAGAAAATGTTCTGTTGAAATTGAAGAGGGGCAAGAAGCGCCCTGAAAGCCTAGTTTAATATAATTGCGTGGGCGTTTTTTCTTAGCCAAAAAGACGGTAGGCAGCAAGGGTGTAATGCAAGGAAAGTCAATTGCGGTTGTGTATACTCTGTGTACATATTGAAACCAGCTCTCTCTGGGCGGAATTTGTAAACAATAATAGATGCATCAGTGTTCGTTTAGTATCCGAGGAGGTTAAAAGCATTAAATTTTGATAATTTTGATAATTCACATTATAGTTTCCTATGCCCAGAATATTTCTTTGATTTTTTTATGTGAAAGATGGATCCCATTTCAGGCTTTGACATCCGTCTTGTGTTTACATTAGCGCCCAGAGACAGTACACTGCAGTACAAAAGATGTGTACACTTCTGAAATAACTTTCCTTGCCTTACATCCTTGGTAGGCAGTAGCCCAAGGGAAATTAACGAATGGAATCAGTTAAACCAAGTATGGCCATGGTCTTCAATCAAATATTAACGCAATCTTATTGGTTACTTCAAAACTTGTCAAATTTTCTACAATATTATTGGTTCTTGAGGAACCTATCAAATAAATGGGAAGCTGCATTGTAATTCGTTCCAGAAAATGAATCAAACATATATTAGTTAACATTCCCTTATGTTAACTTGAAAATTATTAAGTTTACATTTTAATGATATTTATTACATGAGAGCCTGCTCAGTCCCTGGTCTGTCACAAAACTATAAATGCATCTTTATTCTCCACGCCTTTTTACTGGGGAAGTTTTTAACAGAATATGAATAATGTAAAGGCCAGGTTTTATACTTGAGGTAGGAAGTATCACTTAATCGCACTACTAGGGAACTAGTTTTTCAAGTAAAAGATGGAGAACAAAGGTTACAATCGTGCAGTTGTTTATTAACCTTAAACCAGCCCAAATACGTCACAGATGGATAAGGGGTACAAGTAAGTAGTAATGTGTTTTCCTCAGGTGCTTCGTTTTTTTCCGGCTCAACGACTTATAAAAACATCGGATAAAAAAAACACAACTATTGGCAATCGATTTCTATTTTTATGTGGATCCTTAAACCACTTTAAGTTTTGCGAACACTCCATTAAAAAAAGCAATTTTGTATTCTATTCTCAGTCCCCAGACATTATAAGGTGCAACTTGTCAACTCATTCTATTTTTCAAAAAGAAAATCCCATACTGCACAAACAGACTTTTTAGTCTACAGGAGTCTTAATAAACATGAGCTTAAAAATCTTCTTCGATTTCCGATGGCTGTTAAAGTCAATTCTAGACTGTGCATCTTAAAAGCTTTCTAAAATGTGGTCTGTCTTCTTAGCATCTTCAAAGTTCAAAACTTTTGAACGATTTTGGTGTTATTTAATAAATTGTAATCTGGAAAAATTTCTTAATATCTCCGTAAAATTTTAAGGTGGAAAAATTAATTATTTTTGGCTGAACCAGGCTTGGAGGGCGGAGAGGTTCACTTCCCCGACCCTATGTTCAATTTATATTGAACATGAAAATCATGGAAAAGAACCTAAAAGCCCTATTTGACGAATATGGAAGACAAAGTTTTCAAAAAATTAAGAATTGTCCCGGCCCTTGCCACAACCTCCACAAAAATAAGGCTTTATGTAGAAAGCCTGAAAAGGTGTGATTTTTATTAAAGGCATTGAGTTTTTGTCACAAACTCAAATTTTCTAATCCCTATATCTTTACAATCTTTGATATTTCAAACTTAGATATTTTAAACTTAGATTATTTTATCTAACAAAATTATTAGTTTGAAATAAAAATTTGAAAAGATATAGGAATTATAAAATCTGAGTTTTCGGCAAAACTCAATTCCTGTGTTTCATATTTTGTTCTCCATTTATAAAACAAATTTTTGTATGATTTTTTTTTTGGTAAATCTTCCACAATAATTGAATATATCTAATGGGAACGTCCGTACATTCTTTGTGGATAAAAATTGTTATAGGGAGTACCCGGCAATGTTTGGTAGTTGAACTGAGAATGTAGCATTGTGGAGAAATTTTTTAGGATTCGTTTGAGACATATAAAATTTTTAATAATGTATAATTAATGAGTTTGAGCGCTAAGTCGATGTTAAAAGTCACCCATTTGGGATTTGAAAATCGATTTGATTGAAATTATTAAATAGTGACGACAAAAAATGTAAAATAAATTCAACAGTAAACTAATAAATTGTTTCGTAACATATTTCTCAATTGAAATTTTCTTGAAAAATCAATGTTAGAATCAATTATTTCTTTTTCATCATTATATTGAATCTCTTATTCATCATTAATTTGTTCGCAGATTTCTTCAAAATCTACAAAGGTCGTTTTTTCAATAAAAATTCCAGGAAATCTACAGAAAATGTTTGTGAACAATGAGACATTACAGAAACCAATAACAGAATAAGATTACTTATTTTAAATGAAAAGAGTTAATTTTTATTTTCTCAACCTGTTACTAAACAATTCTAATTAGTTTACTGTAGTATTTTTACTACAGTTTTCGTCGTCGTTATTGAATGAATTCCGAAAAAATACTACAATTATAGTTCAACTACCACACATTGCCGGTCACTCCCTTTTAGATGAAAAAATTAAGATTAAAAACGAATTTCCAAAATCTAATTCTAAACATTTTCTAAATATATCCTCTACATGACTCTCAAAAACATGATATGGTAATGAAATGAAAAAGTCAAGCATAAAATGAAAACCTTATAAAGAAAGATTTTCAAATATCCAATATTTCGATGCTTAAATGAAGTACATTGTTACGGTAAACCAATACTCCTGCTTTGGCATGACCTGTCTAATTAAACTGTCTAGTGTCCAGTGCCCATATAATGTGTCTATACTTAATATGTCACGTCAACATATCCTACCTGTCAAGTGTCCTATATTGACCAATTAAGCTATCCAGTGTCTAATATTCACCCATCAAACTGTCAAGTGTCCTATTTTAACTAATCAAACTGTCCTCTGTCTAATATTGACCAATGAAACTTTCTGCAGTGTATATTATTGACTAATTAAACTATCCAGTGTCTAATATTGATCAATTAAAATGGCAAGTATCATCTTCATTGCCTTATTCAAATAGTGTCTAATATTGACTAATTCAACTATCTAGTGTCTAATATTGACCAATTAAACTCTCAAGTTTCAAATATTGACAAATTAAACTATCTAATGTCTAATATTGACCAATTAAAATCTGTCAAATGTTCTATATTAACCAAATAAACTGTATGGTCTTCAATCAAAT